AACGAGAAAGGAAATGTATCCAATACTGCGAGAACACATAGCTGGACACTGTTCTTGAAACACAAACACAGCAATACCATGTGTACTGTCTTCATATCATTGGAGGTGTCTTTCCCTATAATCATTGATGTGAGTTTCTGTGAAACACAAAACATGAACCACACCCACAAACTTATCATTCTTCACATCTTCAAAATGGGCATTGAGTGATGGAACATTCAAGTGAGGCACCTTGAATCCATCACCATGACTGTTCTCTATGGGGTGTGTTGTGTGTGTTGTGTGTGTGTGTGTGGGTGGGGGGGGGGGGGGGGGGGGGGGGGGGGGGGGGGGGGGGGGTTTGTGTGTCCAGGTGAAGTCTTTTATTCCGCATTCTAGTCATCTCATCCAATGTTTTTTTGTTTACAACAATTTTGTGTTCATCAAAACTTACAAGTTCTAGGCCTTTCCTTGATTTGACTCTACTGAGCATTGTATACACTTGACCAGGCTGGTCTCTAAATTTCAAGTCAACTGGTAATACGAGGGGTGTTCATTAAAGATTTCCCCTAAACCACTTAGGGTTATCATATTTGGTTGAAATATTTTACATGTGTAATGATACATGTATCTATGGGTTATGTCTGTATTTGCAGCACCGAACTATTAATCTTACCACTTTTACAGGTGTTATGATCGAGTAGGGTGTGACAATGGAGCCAGTAGAATACCGAGCAGTGATTAGGTTTTTATATTTGAAAGGTCGCACACCAAAAGAAACTTTCGATGGAATGAAAGCAACTTATGGGGAAGATGCCAAATCGTATGACGTTGTTAAACACTGGCATTGCCAGTTCAAGTGTGGTCGGACATCTGTGGAAACAGCTGCCATTCCTGGTCGCCCCCATTCAGCCATTGATGAGGACACACTATCCATCAAGTGGAGACCGCCATTTTGGCAGACCGACGTATAATTGTTTGCCAGTTAGCACAAGATGTCAAGATCAGTGTAGGGTCTGTGGAAAAAATCATCCATGACAATTTGAACATGCATAAGGTGTCTGCACGATGGATTCCCAGGTTGCTCACACCTTTCCAAAAGCAGGAACGAGTCAATTGCTCAAAGGATCTTTTGGACATGTGCCAATAAAACCAGGCAAACTTTTTTGACAGACTTATAACACAGGATGAAACATGGGTCCATCACTATGATCCTGAGACTAAAGTTCAGTCGGTGCAATGGAAGCATGTGGAGTCACCACCCCCAAAGAAGGCACGTGTCCAACTCTCTGCAGGCAAGGTCATGCTCACGGTATTTTGGGACCAGCACGGAGTAGTGATGATGGATTTCTTGGCAAAGGGTACCACAATTACAGGAGCTTATTATGCTTCACTGCTGCGGGATTGCAGTACGCTATCAAGCTTAAGAGGTGTGGCATGCTGACCAAGGGTGCCCGTCTCCTGCAAGACAATGCTCCAGTACATAACTCTCATGTTGCCCAGACAGAAGCGCGGTCCGTGGCTATGAAATCCTTCCACATCATCCTTACTCTCCTGACCTTCACCATCAGACTTCCACCTCTTTCCAACCATGAAGTCATTTTTGAAGGGAAAACGTTTCACAGATGATGAAACACTGATTTCTGAAGTCAAGTCCTGGTTTGAGACGCAAAATGAGGGCTTTTACAAGCGAGGTCTCCATAGTTGCATAAAACGATGGGAGAAGTGTGTAACTCTTGGTGGTTCCTATGTGGAGAAAGACTAATACCTATGCCAAGTTTCATTCCACTAGGTCCATTGGAAGTGGGTCAGGGGAAATCTTTAATGAACACCCCTCGTACATCTCAATTAGGTAATTATGGTAATGGTTCACAGACAACCCTGCATGGATCTTTTTGTAGAATGTGCAAAAGGTTTCTGAGAACTGGTGATGCTCCGGAAACAAATGCTACATGTATTTGAGCCAAAGTCCAGTTTCCTGCCAAGGAAAACATTATGAAAAAATTCCAAACTGTCAAAAGGCACCAGTTCATCACTAGATCTATCTATATGCCAAGTTTGGTGAAGACATATTGTATGGTTCTCAAGATCTGTTTCAGAAACAAGCATTACTGCCTTTTTCAGTCAAAGTCAAAATAATTGCTATGGAAACATGAAAACTAAATATTAAAAAAATGCCAAACTATCAAAAGGCACCAGCTTACCACGTGACCCAGCTATGTGCCAAGTTTGGTGAAGAAATATTGTATGTTTCAAGATTTGCTCCAGAAACGAGCACTGACGCCATTTTCAATCAAAGTCGTTACCATGAAAACTAAAAAAAGAAGAAGTGGCGAGTTTTAATAATCAAGGAGCCACTGGCTTCACATTGAACTGGTTTTGATCATTCAAACACATAGAATCCCATGTCACTGACAGAGTAAATTATTTTCCTCCATGCTCAAGTTGTATGTGTATGGGACCTAATACTTTGCCTCTGGAAAAATCCTAGCATCATTATGAAATGTAAAATGCAATATTAATGTGTATGCACAATAACAATTAATGTTGGGGACATTTTTACTCTGCAAATCTGATACACTCGCCTAAATGAATGCTATGCTGACCATTGAGGTCATCGGTTACCATGCTGTTACAATCAAATAACATCACAGAGGCAGCAAAACAATGCTGCATAATGATGAAATGGGGTTTGTTTCGAAAAGCAGTTCCTAGTGTCAAATGGACATAGTAGGAGTGCTTCCTTTGGTATGTTATAATTAGCTGTTAATCAATGCAAAACAATGCAGCAAGTTCAGAAATGTTCAACTTGTTAATTACAAGTGCCATAGATTTACAGAAATGTCTGTCCAGAAGACATTTCCCTATTTGAAGTGTTTAACAAATTTGGAAGTGGTAACATTCACAACCAATTGATGACACAAATGGTTACCTGCATACATTCAGGTTGGCATTGGAAAACAGAAACATGAACTTTCTGAAGTTGATCCTAGCGAATTTGGATTGTAAATCAAATGATTGCACTCTAGTCAGTCTTATTATTTATGGATATGTTGACTGGCTGTTGCTTATGTGAAGTTGTGAACAATTCCTGTGACTTAAAGCATTTCTGTTTCCTTGTTGAGAGTAAAGTTTGTTGGATTCAGAAATAGAAAAAAAAAAAATTTCCCCTTCCTCACGTTTTCTAAAAAATGGATGAGAATCTAATAATCTTTTCAGGCCTAATCTCTCTGCCATTGAGTGAGTGAGTGAGTTATACATATAGCAATGCCACTGAAGCTGGTTAGCTTACACTGGTGATTACGTCCTACAAACTTAAATAAGTATGAAGGATGATTTTGAATGTTGGTTGATGGTTGGTTTGTTGTTTAACACCGCACTCAGCAATATTCTAGCTATATGATGGCGGTCAGTAAATAATCGAGTCTGGACCAGACAATCCAGTGATTGACATCATCAACATCGATCCACGCAATTGGGATCGATGACATGCATCAACCAAGTCAGCTAGCCTAACCACCCGATCCCATTAGTTGCCTCTTACGACAAGCATAGTCGCCTTTTACAGCAAGCATGGGTTGCTAAATAGATTCTCACTCGTATCAAATATGTCAAATATATCAACAATGGTCAATAAAAGTTAAGGAACTGAATGGTATATGTGTTGGGTTCTAATGCGTGTAAGACTCCAGCCCCTGTCCACAAAAGCAGTCTGGGACGGTCAGTAACACTGAATCAAGCACTGATGATGATGATGATGATGCCAGTTGACTGGTGTTACTGTGAAATCACTGGGAGCTGTAGGTTATGATCTGTTAATGAACCTTTCATTGATTAAAACGTAAGTTCAATTTGTTGTCATGGAAACAAGAAACGTTTGGGGTTTTTTTTCTCCAAAACTGCAAAAAGCACCAGTTTACAGCTGACTGATATCTGTGCAAGATTGAACACAAAATATTAGAAAGTCTAATGATCAAAAAAAAAAAGAAAAGAAAAAAAGAGACCCTTCCCTCATTTGAACCAAGTCCAACTTGTGTTCATGGTAATGGGAAAATTACAATATTACCAATATTCTAATAGGTTTGCAATCACTTGTAGCAAGTTACAGTCTGGAAACTATGCACTTTCCACCATAAAACAACACCCCACTGAACTACTTTGGGGGATATTAACCATCAAAATATTATATTATTTCGCAAAGTTGAATCCAAATTAGTGTAAGTTTAACAATACACATCTTTGAGAACTCATATCATTTTAGCACAACATAACACCACTCTTCAATTATGATGTCATAAACATGACACTCTTGATCATGTTGATCAACTTAAATTTTGTACCAGAGAAAGACCTTTCAGTTTACTTGGTGTACATACAAAATACAGTTTTGCAAAACTTATTTTGGCACAGTATAGATAGTGATTACATTGAATTACATACTTGTATACAAAATCTTCAGGTCGCTGAAGCTTTAGTCAAATTTAAAACGTTCACTAGATATTTTCTAATTCAGTGATGAGCCCTATCAATTTAAATATGGTCTCATACATCAACTTAAATTTTGAACCATGGATAGCAGAATCAGCGATACAGAATGTTATTGGATTACACCTAGGATCTTGTCACTGTAACACTTGTAGAGCCTCAATGAGCGAGTGAATGTTGTTTGAAGCTTCTGCCATTCCAGCCATATCATGTCAGTGGTTGTTAGCAAGTAACAAACCATGCTGTTGACCTAAGTATCAACTAATACCACTTCCTTCCTCATTTATAATTCTGCCCCCAAATCCTTTGGGTGTGTGTAGTCTCGGATCATTGTAACACCTATGCACCAACATTCCACACGTTATTGTCATGTTTTCTCAACCATAGTGTAGACATCTAACAAGTCTGAACAGAAAACTACAAATTGCCACCGATTTGTTTATATTTCTCTATTAAACATAAGGTAGACATATAAATAATATTCTTTCAACCATGTAATGGTCATAATAAAATTGTGACAGAATGGTAAAAGAGAGTCCTTGAAAAATAATTTTAATACGACAATCAGTGATATGAGTTCACAATATCAGTGAAGACTTTATGAATGTTTCCATTGGGCCTGACCATGAGAGTTTTTCATAAACTCATTACAAAAAGTTGCTCACTGATGTAGTCCTTTACCTCGTCATTTTCTGTCCCACTGCTACCCTTCTCTTTCTTGGACACCAACTTAAATAAAAGCTTTCATATGAGAACCCTGATGAATCAATTTGAACATGTCCAAAGAAACAAAATTGACAGAGAAACTTTAATGACTGTTGTTGTTTGTTTATCAATAAACTGAATAAGATATAGATATAGTTCATTAATCTAAGTGTTGTTGATTATGCTGACAATACCTGGCAAACTTTCTTGATGTATTCAAAACAAATATATACCTTACTTGTAGGTTCATTCCACTTCAAAGTTAACCAATAACCTGGAGCAAACGAAACTTAAAATTTCATTATGATCTACACTCATAGCTCAAACTCTGGTTTTGAAATGGAACATACATAAAGTGAAAGAGACAATAATAACATATTAGAAAGTAACCATATCTAATCTTCACACTAGAGGAATCACATAAAAAAATAAATGCCCAATAAAAACATTCACAGTTATCAAAATGGTTGTCTGAATAAAACCAGTAAAACAAATCACACATTAGATAAGCACTTACTTCAGAACAAGACATACCATTAGTGTTCTTACTGATTTAATTGAGTTAAACTTGTTTTACACTTCAGTTAAAAATATTTTATTGACAATCTAAAAAGAGTTATCACTCCTAAAATACAAATCAGACTAAAATCCAGTTTCATTCATCATGATAATAATATGTGTTATATTAAAACTGTACAAGGATATAACTATGTCATATATTTACAATGAGCCATTAACAGCTGACTTAATATTATACACAGAGCATTCAACCACTTCAAACAACAATAATCAACACAAGTAGCACACACTGGAAATGATGGGATTGTAAAATAAGTGACCTAGTTTAGTAGTGATATCACATTTTGATCTTGAGACACCTTTCGATTGTGCATTGCAGTAGGCTAAAGGAAGGAAAGTGCAGTAACACTTGACAACCTGGTTCCACTTAATTACATTATGCACTAACTATACCAAATTTTGATACTCAAGTAACAAACTGCTGCACGTTGGTGATGTTCTTACACTGACTAATCACATAGTGCATGTCACTATACTTAATGTGTCCTTAATCACAGGATAAAGAATTTAGATAAATTGTCAGTTACAAGTCTACTTGTGGTTTTCAACTTGGGCACTGAAACCATTGGTAAGAAAAGATAGCTTGTTCCACACACATGAATTATCAACCATCTGGACCCTGATAATATTGCATTTAGTCACATCACAGATATTGGCTGGTAAAAATAAAACTCACTTCCATGAAGCTTTATCACAACTTAAAAGAAAACCATGTTGAAACAAACTGTTGGTGCACAAACTGTACTTCCTGTGAGTGCATGAAAACAATACATATCATGCTTTTTGACACTGATACTTGTTGCAGACGGTTCATCCTTGTTGTATCCTTGGTGTTCCACAAATTCAAACAGATCTCAGACTATTTGTAAAGTTTCTTCACAACTATTACACATGATTAAAAGTTAAAAGATCTTGCACCGTGATATGCCTTAAGGAATTTGGCTTGTGAAGATTTTATCACACTGAAGCTTCAAGCAGCAATGGACGGCTTAGGTTTCAACCTTTATTAATCATGACACAACACTGTATCCTGACTCTTCTGTAATTAAAATCTATAATGTTGATCCAATTTGTGGCAGTTTTGTTCTAGTGTTAATGACATCATCTGGTAGGCCTATCTGCCTTGACTTGCCACTCGTTGTAACTGTGGTGTTGGCAAGTTTCTGGACCGAGCTTCGGTTCCCTGATGAATTTCGTCGAGCTCCGGAGTCCAACCTGTTATCATTTGACGGAGGCGGCTTTGGTAGGCGACGTCTTAACCAAGCATGTCTCAGTGCTTGGCCTGGTGTCATTCTTGTAGCTGGGTCCCAATCCAAACTACGTTTGAGGAAGTCCAAAAACATTGGATCATCACAACCTTTTAAAGCAGAGACAATATCTTTAGTTCCTGGAGGCTTTCTTTCTTTACCTCTGCGAGATCTACCCCCATGGAGTGTAGTGCTTCCATTTGGTAATGTGGTCACTGTGCAGTATCGAGGATATCCCTTGGAACTGATGAAATTGCGAGCCCTTTTTGACCCATCCAGGAGTTTTTGTGGTGGCATGCCTTGAAGCTCAATAATGCAAGCTAGCTGGTCGCCTTCATCTTCACCAGGAAACAGTGGGTATCCAGTTAGCAATTCTGCAAGGATACACCCCAAGCTCCACATATCGATCGGCATGCCATACTTGGCACCCAATATCACTTCTGGTGCTCTGTAAAACCTTGACTGTATGTAAGTATATATTCTCTGATGCTCATAGCAGCTAGATCCAAAATCAATAACCTTGATGCCACTTCTGCCTTGTTGTTTCAAGAGAATGTTTTCTGGTTTGAGATCACAGTGAATGATACGGTTCTTGTACAAAGCATCTAGACATTGCAATATGGAGTGTGCAAATTTGCGTACAAGCTGCAAACTGAATCCCTGGAATTTGTTCTTCTTTATTAGCTCATACAAGTTCATACTCAGCAGTTCAAATGTGATACATGTGTGATTTCTGAAGGTGAATTCTTCATACATGTGGACAATGTTCATAGTATTATCCTTATCTTGTTTCTTCAAATGTTCTAATATTCTAATTTCTTCTTTAGCTTGGCGGTGAAATCTTTTCTCATTTCTGACCATTTTCAATGCAACATGTTGTCCTTGCTTGTGATCATAGACTTTGACAACCTGACCAAAACTACCTTTTCCTATGACTCTCAGCACTTCATAGCGATAAGATATATGATCATGTGGGACATGAATGTATGAACCATTTTCATCATCATATCCATTGTTATTTGCACCTCCAATAACCCCTTGTCTTTTCTTTGCATTTTGGCCCACGAAAAATATTTGAGAGTAATTAAAAATTTCATGATGTTCAAATGAACTGAGTTTATGCATGTATTGCTTCATTGCAGTTTCAGGGCTCATACAGTTACCTCTACGTGCTGCCGACCCGCCTTTACTCGTGACACTTCCTCCGCTCGAGCTTGGCCGTGGAGGTACGGACGGGAGGGATTGAGTATGACCGGTAGACTGATGGGGATGATCGGTTTGTTCTCCGCGGTCGCCGCCATATTGGATCTCTCGTTTGTCAGGGAGGTTTTTATTTTCATACATTTGCTGTACCTTTACCCCTCCGCTACTCACATGTGGCCCACCTCCGACTGTTTGGTTGGCGGTTATAGCTGGGAGATGATGAGTCGCAGGGTCAATGATTGCGTTGTGTGTGGTGAACATATCTCCCGTTGTTAGCATAGAGCGAGTCCTTTGACTTGGCTGAGGGATGACCCGTATGGACATTCTTCCATTGAAACGACCCGTTACACAACGGAAAGTCTGATACCGCTACATCCCCAGTGTCATTGTGATAAATCGTTGTCCAAAATGCCGATTTACGTCCGAAACTGCAAATTATGGTCCGATTTGACGGACTAATTTCCACAACAGAGTGTTGCTATTTTTCGAAAGGAAGAATGGACTCCGGTTGCCAAGTGAGACCCTGGTTGGCGAGACGTCATGTGCGTGACGTCATGGAAACTGCGGTCACGTGAGTCAACAAAGCTGTGGTCGGGGGATATAACATACTCAAAACAGCGCATGTCATGTCACGTAATAAGCTGAGGAAACATAACTTGCCTTACCTACTCGACGAGGTGTTATTCAGTTTCGCCGAACGGTTGTAATACAGAGGTTTATTCATATTTACAAATCATACATTACAACTGATATTAATTTACATTAATATCCCATTGTTGTGTCAGTACCGTATTGTCCTTCTAATACAGATGACATGTAAAATCAATATTTACGTTGGGCCAAATAAGATCCGATTGATTCACAAAGGCTTTATTACATATGTACAGACAAGTGATCAAAATAGGAATAATTAATCACTGGTGTCAAGTTTTCTTTGGGAGTACAGATTATATTTCATCTTGGTTACGCTGTTCCTGAAGTGTGTAGTTGTTTAAGGCAGTCATTTGGGCATATATATATATTATGGATTCGTGTTATTGTAAACATTATTTTAGTATTACATTAGTGACTGTTCCTTATACCTAACAATATCAATAACACTAAGTCTTGTCAAGGCATAAATAAATTTACTAAACACAGTGTTGCTAAAAAAGGGTAGTGCAACCTACGAACAATGAACGTTACATAACACGAAATACCAACAACCAATGAATCTGCCTTGTTTAGTTTTGTTTAAAAAAAGTTAAAACTGTTCATTATTAACACTTAATTGCCACCAAAAACTGCAGAAATGTATTCCAGCAGTGCATCATGCATGCATGGATATGGGTAGGTAATTAAGCGCCTTTCACTCGCCGACATAAATCGTCATGTATAAGGAATAATGCTCTTATATTATTATCTGTGAAACAACGCCAGACTTAGCTCGGGTCTGTGCTGATGATCGTTACTGTGGGTTATCGACCTGCTGTACACAAGTGTATATACATAAAAGTGAATATGTAACACAGGCGGCGTCGGAGAACATCAGGTGCATGTCTACAGCTAAGACAATGCTCACTGCTTTGGTTCTCACTTGCACTGTATCGATTCGTCAACTTTAGCACGGGCTTGGGTGTACTTTATATATAATGTACATATGACGCCAGTTTTCTCGTGAATATAATGTTATATATTTATTGTCGCCATGGTTGTGTACACACTCAAGACGTTTTGGGCATCACAGTATACAATGTTGGGTCTGCATGCCTACACAGACAGGTCGATACTCATTTACAGGCTTGCCGACGCGGAGTATACAGTTTTGTGTACTGCCACACACATAGAAACGGTGAAAAACAATGCTCATACTGATTTAACATGTACAGAACAGCAGCCAACTTCTCTGTGCCATCAAGCTAGTGTTTGTCTGTATTGATCGTTCATCCATACGCAGCTAGGCTTGATAATTTATTCACACGACAGACTTGCTACTTTCACCATCACGCGAAGTTCTCACTTTAATTAACCTCCATTTCGCATCCCACACTATGTCAGATGTGTAACTTAAATCAGCTCTAACTGTTTTTCTCGCAATGAAGCACTAGTCTATTCAGGTTTTCGAACTCAACCGATACATTGTTAAATATTGTAACACTATGTCATAGGGGCCGCTATTATGTTAATGGAGCCGACTGAAATATATTTGCTTCATATTTTACGATTACTAAAAGTTCAGATATTGACACGAGTTTGTGAAGAGGAAAGGTATCTGCAATCAACACAATGCCAAGACAAGCATGTGTAGTTTAAGTACTATAACACACACACACACACACACACACACACACACACACACACACATATATATATACGCATATATACATATATATCAGTATGCGTCCTAGGTAGTGTCACTCTTGAATGAAAAGAAAGCAGGTCTACGGGAATACCCAGTAGCACATTGAAAACTAGCTGTGTAAGCAATGCACCCATGCGTCTCGTCACTGCAGGACCAGGTAAGTAATTCAACTGATTGTACATGGGACAGGTTTTGTGGAGAAGCCCAGTCCCATGTACCATGCACACGCCCCTCTTCCTAACACTACTGGGTCCGCCAGTGTGTAATATACACTAATAATTTAGAGCCTCGTCCATTGCCTATTATTTACCTATGATAACTTAAATACTGGCTTCCATACTATCAGCGCTAATTACTGTAAAGTGTTGGCTTCCATTGTGTATTGCTAATCACCCATCAGCGCCAATCATCTGTTGGCTTCCCTTGTTAGTTTCTACCCTTTGTTATTTTCCACCTTTTGTTATCTTACTAATTTTGTTGTCCTTACATGTACATATATATGCTCTCTGCCTCATGGCATTCCAAAAAAACACAAAAAAATCCTATTACTTACCGACTCCCTAAGTTGACTGCAAGCCCTCCAAAACAAAAATACCAAAAACCGACCTAAATTAATAAATCAAATACTTAAAAGCTCCAACGACCTAACTAAGGCAGGCAAACAAATAACCTTCTTGTGGATACCCGCCCACGTAGGAATATACGGTAATGAAAACGCCGATAAAGCAGCTAAACTATCCCTCAAAATCCCAGAAATAAGCTTAAACTTACCCATCTCAAAATCAGAAATTAAAAGTGTAAACAAGCAAAAAATCACAAAAAAGGGCATAACCTATATCTAAACTCAAATAGCCAAATCAAAAAAGTGCTCAGCAAACCACTAACCAAACCAAAAATTCTCCATCCATCCAAAAAAATCGACAGAGTAATCACTAAACTCCAAACAGGACACACCAACCTAAATAACCACCTAAAAAATTTTTTAAAAACACACTACAGGTAACACACTGCAAACAACCACAAACCCCAGAACACGCACTCATCCACTGCACACACTACCTAACACATCGAACCGCATTACAAACCACCCTCAATCTAAACAAGGCTCTAACTCTAGAAGCAATACTAAACCCACAAAATAAACTAGAAAACTTCAAGGCCTTAGGCGTATTCTTAATAAAAACGGAACTAATAAAACGCATCTAAAAATACAATAACCTACCAAATCAAAATCACATAAACAAAAAAACATCCACCATACCCAGCTCCCTTAGTTCTCCTCCCCAATCCCATCGGCATCTATTCCAAATCTCAAAATTCCCAAATTCTATATAAGCAACCCCTAAACCCCCCCTCTTGGGTTGCACAGACCACTTTCGCCCCTTTCGGAAACACATTAAATGGCCTGGCCGGGCCCGTGTGCGAAATACGCATCAGCCGGAAAGCGCACGTTAAATCTCAAAAGTAAGTATCATGGCATTCATTCACCTGATGAAGGAGTAAGCATATACTCCGAAACGTTGTGTTCATCATAATAAAGAAGTTTTCATCCATATATTCTCTTCCCTAACGAGTCAATATAAGCATTATATCATAATGTTTTCAACCTTTTTGTCTTAATGGTCATCTAATTTTCGAGTTAACCCATTCATTTTGCATACAGGCACGGCCCCAATCGTCTAAAGCACCGCAATTCGTTTACAGATTTGCGTCCCTTGGGCGCGCCAGAAACACACACACACACACACACACACACACACACACACACACACACACACACACGTATATATATGATGTAAAGACATCCCACACCCAGCTGACACGCCGTAATATAACTGAAATACTGTTCAAAGCAGCGTTTAACCAAACTACACTCACCTATTCATGTCTTTTTAATTAAATAAAACAAACAGTATTTCAACATCCTTGGCTAAGAAAAACAACGTTATCTCAATGTGACTCAGCATGAGTTACGTCAATCCTTTATTGAACCATAATCAAACATCATAATAGATGTAGATGAAATGGATGTATACGTAAGTTCGTACCACAAGTCCTTAATAATTTCCTTTTACAAAGTAGCATCAAAATGCGAAAGTATTGGCTTAAACAGTTTTTGTTTAAATACGCTAAATATAACAAAGTAGACACAATCTATGGACAACAACTTCTTTAATACTGTAAAGGCGACGTTTCGGTATAGATAGATCCTTATACTGTTGTCAAGCAAGAATGAATGAGGAACATTGTACAGACTATATATGGTAGGTGGAGGATTAACAGTAGAGGGTTAACAGTAACAACAATTCCATACATGAGTGGGATAACAAGAGTAAGTAATGACAACAGAAGGATAATACTGCCACAACATGACGGACAGAGAACACAAAGGTGGAAACCAATGGGACATGAAGCCAATTAAACAAGATAAGTTTGTATAGGTGTAGTGATTATTGCTTAATGAGTTCATAGTAGGCGGATGGGATGAAATAGCCTTGATATCTGTTGATTGATGGCTTGTGGCGGCGAATGTGGACTGCTTCTGTTAGTTTCCTTTTTGTAAAATCATGGAAGTTGTTGGAGAGGATTTGGACGTTGTGCCAGTTGATATTGTCATTAGGGCAGTTGCTGATATGGTCCGAGATTGTTGATTTGCTGTCTGATTTGATGGTTGAGGTTTTGTGCTCTTTGATTCTGGTGTTGATGGGCCCGCTGTTTCACCTACATCAGATTGTCCACAGTTGCAGTCAATTTTATAAATTACACCTTTAGGCTCACCTGGTATGTTTAGGTTTGGTTGTGCTCCTGCCGTTGGCTCTTAGTAGGGTATTGAGGGATGTAGAACTTTTGAAGTAGGTGTCAATATTGGCTTACTGTTCGAGGAGGCGGCTGATGATGTGGGAGGCTTTTCCTATGAATGGGAGGGCGCTGATTCTTGTTTAAGGGTCGCAGATCTGGGCGTGGGGTGGAGTCCAAAGGAGATGACTTTGTCGACGAGATTGGGTGGATAATTGTTGAGGTGGGTGAAGACTTGGCGGAGGCGTTCGATCTCAGGTTTGGGGTCATCAGAAGAAAGGTTGATGGCTCGTTTTGTGAGGGTGGGGATGATTCCGCTAAATATGCAATGGAGTTACACTTAAATACTTTATTTAATGCAAATAAACAACGTATTTTTTATTACTTAAGTTTGTTTTCTTTCCTTGATTCACCCTATAAACATTTAATTAATTTTAGTAATAGTATTATTGATGTACAATATGCAAGTTTCTAGACTCCGAGTTCGTGGTCAAAGGGAAGAAGACCTTTTGTTCAGTCTCCTCAAGGACTCGTTAGATCTTTATGTATGTGCTTAGTCTCTTGGTAATGGACTGTCTGGCATCTGTTTATGTATATGAACTCCTGCTTCTCAATATCCTATGGCGTCGTCGTTATATGTCATTGTCTTAATGTAATATTAGCTCGTGGTTCCACATAGAGCGGTCTTGCAGTGATCACGTTGAATGCACATTTACACAATGATTACTCCCTACCACCGACAGGAAGTCATTTTCGACATGCGCATTATAGATCAAAGTGACGTGGAATCTGTGTATGTGGAAGTCACACTGTTTTGTTATATAGATCTATTTAAGTTGAAATAGCAAAGAAAACTAACGATGCATATGCTTAAGAGAGACAAGAAAGAAGAAGAAGATGGTGAGTGATATTAATTTACTATATGTATGTTTTAAGGTAGATCTATATGTTATTGTAGCCAAGACTCTTGATGTTGGATCATGTCTTGACTGTCGGACCCCATCCGCCGGCCCATCGGCTAATGTTATTGCTGATAACTACTGAATAATATGATATTTGTCCCCGGAAGCAGTTACAACATTATGTATCTCCGTCACATTTTGAAGATATATTATATGCATTTTGAAGATATATCAGCGTTAGAAACAAACAGTTTTCATCCACTAGTCCTTATAATGATAACATAGGCCTATAGCAAAACCCTAAAATTCGACTAGTCCATATGATACCTCATAGCTGTCAACCCCTGGATGTCTGAATGAGTGAGAAGCCAGGGTGCAGGGGCTGCAACCCCCCCTGGGTCTAGGGCTAAACCCTGTTAGGGGGTGCAGGGGGGTGAAGCCCCCCGGCGAAAACTGGTTTTCAATGATTTTAAGACCATTTTAATGGCCTTAGAGAGCATGTATTTTGAAAAATTATATTTTTATCTACATTTTATATGAATGCGTGAGAATTTCCCAACTCAAAGCTTTACTAGCCCAGGAAAAGATAAAATGCCCTTGTAATGTCAAAACAGTGGGGAAGGTATACTCGGACCCCATGGTACCGCGGCATTCATCGTATCGCGGCATTTGTGATTTCCGATAGTTCACACGCCTCTTGGCAGCTGTCTATTAATGCAAATCAGTAACCAGGAAGTGCACACTTCGTAAACAATTTCAATTTCCTCGGAATGTTCCGTCTGCTGTAAGTTAGGAGTTATTAATGCGTTGATACATATTTCTGGCATCTTTTGTAATATTGCCTTACCTCCATCTATCAATGGCCAACGATATAACCCGTAGTTCCCAAAGTAAACTTTCTCTATCGACCCGAACTAGATCATCTGCATATTCATGGTGTCTTATGAGGTAACGGAAGTTACGTAGTCCGCACAATTTTTCCCGCTCTGTGCCCAGAAACTATTGGGAGATCATAAGGGCCATAATGCCAAACTTAGAAATACGTTCTTCACTAGTAACCAAAAGATAAATACATACTTTGGGCATACTAGGAGTGCTTTTTATATATTTATTGTTGACTTTTAACATTTTAACATTTTGTGACAAATTATTGTCATCCAATTTTTTTTAAACAATCTTAAAATATCATTTCTGATATTTTGATGTTGACTTATAAAAATATTTTTCTCTTACTTTTCGGTAAATATGCATTGAATACCTATTGCTGATAACACATTTAGAATTTTACTTGTGCTGTCTTTGCACTTGTCCGGACAAATCACTGATGTCTGGCATGATCATATCAAGTGGTTGGTAGAATTATGTCCTCTTTTTGTCCAATTCGGACCTCCATACACAACTTTTCTCTGTACCGCTATACGATGGAGTTCTCTCCCTTGTCAAACTGAGCGCGAGGCCCGGCTTTTACTCGGAGCTACTAATGTAAATAATGAACTTTTATCAGTAAAATATGCATTGTTTGATAACATGAATGATATCTGATACAGAGAACACGAATAAACATAAAGTTTAGTGAGTGCATTTTGTTCCGTTTAGCGTACATGACAAGTACCGCGATACCCCGAGGTTGCAGGCTACTAGCCAACAGGAATCTGAACTAGCCCTGTGCTAGCGGGCTAGTGTTAATTTCTAACCCTGTGGTAAATAATCACTTGTGTATCCTCAAGTTATCTAGCCAAGAGCCAGGATGGGTTCTGGCTTTCTCACACAAGTTATCCAGAGATAAATCTAGGACATGTGATCCAGGATCCAACCTATGTCTTGCTCACAATTTTAGAAGGGGATTAATCACGTAAAATAAACTATCCTGTCAAGCATTTTCAACACCATATTGTGGCTGAGGGGGTCATTGTCGACACAGATAGTACAGATATGCACCCCATTTACGTTTCTGTATACTGAAATGTACCCTTGCTAAAATCCGAATACAGAAAGGCACCCAAGGATGGGTCCATTCTGCTGCAGGCCGTATTGTGCAATGCGCTTAACTGGCTCCTTGAGTGCTTACATATACGGCACATCACGGTTGCCAAACTGCAGTTAAATTCAACATGGCAGAACCTGTTGTATTAGTATATTTCCTTTCCATAAATAGATCTGAACTGTCTTGCTATTATATGAGATACATTCCAGCATGTCGTATAACAAACGAGCATACACAGTGACATAAATACATTACTCTAATATTCCTCGATGCACAGCATTAACAAGCATGCACTCTTCATCAGGCAGACCAGAACGACAACATCAACCAGTTTCAGGTTGAGGAATATGGACTTTCCGTCGTTTAGGGTACTGGGTACCTTTCTGTATTCTGATTGTGGCTAGGGTACATTTCTGTATACAGAAACGTACCTATCTGTAGTACCTGTGCTGGCAACGACTCCTTCAGCCATATTGTGGGACTAATTGGCATAAGGAATACTATCTTCAACAGGTCAAGGATACAAACTCACAACATGACAACTTTCGGCTTTAGGAAAAAGCAGTAATCGAGCAGCCAATGAGAAAGTAGTTAACACATGATCCCATTATGTGGCCAACCTTGCCCATTCCTGTATCTGAAGCGGGAATTGCATTGTCCAATTACTAGATACTTTTCATCTGAAGTCATTTACACAGCTCTGCTTTTTTGAGTTAGAAAGTATGATTGATGCAAGTAGGCCTTGTGTTCAATTATGTCTGAAGGGTGCCACTGCTATTATCTTTACATAACAATGTTATAAAAAATGTAGCTTTCTACTTTGAAAAGATTAGAATGGCAAAAAAAGCTAAGTTCAGGGGTTTAAAATTTATGAAAAATGTTACTTTACCAAGGGCAAGTATGACCAACATTCTTACTTGCCACATTTTAAAATGTACTTGCTCAAAATCAAACTAATAAATTCAGTAAAATGTTAGTGTACACCTGATGTATTGAGACTTTTCAAATATTCAATTCTGAAATTTGAACATCCAACAATAAAAGGTCGTATTCGATTGCAAGCTTGTATGTTTGGGTTCTTGAAACAGATGGTGCACTTCATGACTTCTGCCGTGTCATGGTCTTTCCACTCAGCGATGAATGTTCGTTTTCGTTTACACTCGTCATACTTCTTATTCTTGGCCGATATAGATTCATTTGAATTTTCAGAATTTGGCTCCGCCTCCCTTTTAAATTTGTCCCCACCGCTGAAGAAACTTAAATAGACCGCTAGCTGTGACATGATCTGACATGTGCGGTACTGGCATTGTAAATTGTTTATTGTAGATAAAGTGCTAATGAAGCAAAGGGAGGCTACTCTATCCTTCACAAGCTTACTCATTTGAAACAAAAGACTGCAGGTTAACTTACAGTGATCCCTCGCTATCACACTCTACAATATCGCACTAACACTATAGGTCTCAAAAGTTGGGTAAAAAATATTGATTGGAAATTGTTTCACCATGTTTACAAGAGCCCTGGAAAAAACTGTGTAGATATACATACAAAACGCTCTGATCATGCATACACTGAAGTTGACTGATGAAACTTTTCCAGTGCATGTGAAATTTATTCTTAAGCATAAGTACAAGTTATAACACGGGAAACTGTGAAGGGACGTTGTTGTTGAGATCAGAGAGTTCATTGAGGAGAATTCAATCTGTTTTATGTTTTTTATAAGTAATTTGTACTTAATTTGTTCTACAGTCTATTATTCAATGTGGGGAATGTAGTTTACATCGTGTGAACGTTATTCATGCTTGTGACTTCCTGCTGTCAGCCCTTTGGTATTCTGTTGTTGGATACATTGGCTAGAATGAATAAACTATGTCTTTTCCAATTTAAATAATCAGGCATTTTTATTTTGCAATTCATTTCAGGTGGAGGGAATCCATTCGGCAATCTGGAAAAGAGCACTGTTTTGCAAGAGGTATGTTTTGGAAATTGAAATGTTTTTCTCAGTTATGCCATTATCTGTCATGATAAATCAACTAATTGAGTGATTACAATGGAAACAAAAATTGATTATTATGACTACAGGGTGCAGAAGTATCATGCCCACTCCAAGTTTCCTCACCTGGTATGTTAGACTTTGGGACAAGTTGAATTTTGCAGTTTTGTTGTTCATATACAATGCATGACATTCAGACACAAGGGATGGGCTATTCTAATTTTTAAATTCCGAAGCGCACTCGTAACAGACTGTAATATTTGGTTCATCAATGTTACCAGTCGTTTGTTGTAGACCAAAGTGTTTCAACATTTTGGCTTTGCCTTTCAAATTTCAGCCACAATTTTCTCTTTTTTTGTTTGAATATTTCGAGACAAAGTCGCAACAAATATATATTTAACCTTGAAGAAATAACTAAAAATAGACAAGGGGAAACCCTGATTGTAACAGACAAGCTGACTTCATTCGAAGAATATATTTACATGAATATTGCCGATGTTTTGTTCATATACAAAGAATTATTAGGTACTTTATTTGCCGGTCCACAGGGACTGGCAGTCACATGAATTACTGGTCCAAGCCTAATTTTACCGGTAGGAAACTGGTAATTACCGGTAAACGGGAACACTGCCTCAATGTGTAATAAATCTGGTAAATCACATTAAAAAGTAACATTTTTTGAAAATTAGCAAAATTCATTGGTTTTTTTTAATTCCATTTCTTTTCACAGTAAACGGTAATTGATTGAAATTTATTTATCTATATGAAATAAACAGGTGACCTCAGGTCATCAAGGTCACCTCTTCACATCACTGCCTGTCGCGCAACATGACACAACACATGATATGTAATGTTCCCTCCAATTTATTCCTCCACAGTCAAAGAGTATCAATATTTGTGTTAATAGCACATAATTTACTTTAGATATGCTTAGGACTTAACTGAAAGTTGCTCTTAAAAATCTTAGTGAGGAATTATTATAGGCAGTTTCACATACAATCAAGTCCTGCTAATCTGACATGATTGGTTGCATATGATTATGTCGGATTAAACCAGAATGTCGGATAAACAAAATTAAGTTCTATCAACGTTCGTGATTGAAAATTGGACAACTACACGATAGATAACGATACAAACAAATAATAACAAAAATGAAATATTCATATTGTTATGTTACGTTGTTAGCGGAATATGTTTTCTAATCATGCAACCTCTAAAGCTGAACACAACAGGTCTAAATATCACTGATTTAATTGGTTCCTATCATTTGTGTTAGATAAAGCCGAGTGTCGTATTAACAAGACTTGACTACATAATCTTTTTGAATATGGACCCTGATCAGTAATATTACTCTGTTGAAATGTTCCGTAATGTCATATCTTTTGTATTGACAATATATAAATGAATAATATGGATTACTTTCGTCTTGATTGGATGTTTATATTTCTGTTTTTCAGGCTCGGATGTTTAATGAAACTCCAATCAACCCACGTAAATGTGGCCACATCCTCACAAAGCTCCTTTATCTGATCAATCAGGTCAGTCAAGACATTAAACATATCATTATCAGTATCAAAGCTGGTTGTTTATATGTATTCAGTCATGTCTTATCATGTTTCTATGATACAAATTCTGATTATTTGAACGAATGCTTGGGGGCCTGCACAGAATTGTTGATAAAAGCTGACAACCTTCCTTAAGTATTTCCAGCTATTCTGGCCTAAACATTTTCAGAGCTGCTTGAGTCTTATGATTATAGGATTGTTCAGGTTACATACAGAAAAGAAAATCAGTGAGCTACAATCCAAAAAATTTTCTGATCCTTGATGTTGTTTTGTTAGCATGGTGAGATGAATTTGCCAACTTTGTTTTAGGACTTTACTTGGTAACATTATTTCTTTTATTTGCAGGGAGAAAGTATTGGATCGAAAGAGGCAACAGAAGCTTTTTTCGCAATGACCAAGCTCTTTCAGTCTAAAGATGTGAGAAAAACATGTTTGATGCAGTTCTGTTCCTAGCTGCGGTGACCGTATCTCTATGCTGCTCTTTATGAACAATTTTGATCTTCGCTACAGAGCTACATGCTGTCCAATAGTGTTTTCCAAACAGATCCCTGATTAAAATCTGCATAACACTTTATTTGATTCAGCAAAGTGTCTTCATAAGGATCTAACACCATTGATATATGGTTCACTTCAGAAGACAACTGACTTCAAATACAAATGCTTATATTTTAAATCATGTAACAATAAAGATATTCAATATGTACATTTTATATGGCAGTGTTGTTAATGCGTATGTTCCAAATCGGGACGCTTTGAGTAAAACACTATGGAACAGTCTGTAGCTCTAAACATATTATATCTGTGTAGCGGAACAAAACAAATTGTTTAGAAGAAGCAGCAACAACATTCTACAAGTATTCTTTTCCTAGTCCAACCCGTCTTGAGAACAACTATTGGCTTCAAGGATATATTTCATATATTTTTCACTTATCCTGCATTACTCTTTAATACATCTATTGCTTACCTTATGCCAAAAAAGACAGCGCTTCACTATGGTCCTGGGTGAAACACAATGCTAAGGTCTCTAATTATGCTTGGGACAAGACTGCTCTTAAGGCATTGGAGCATGTTTCTCAGAGTTTTTCCCAACAAGCAGGCAGGTCTGGCAACTATAGGCTGAGATGATCTTCGCTCAAGGATCAAGACCAGGATTCCTTTCATGGCAGAGGGCGTGGCAGAGGCAAACCACAAGTTCCAGGGCAGGGGTGGGGATGAGAGGGGGAAACCTTGAAGTGTTGTACAATCCGACTGGCAGCTCCCACCCCGGGTTGTCCCAATTTTGTCCTTTTGGCAGAACTGGTCCGTACTGAAGGACACCTTCATACTCAATGTTCTGTGCTACCTTCTGAACTAAGCTGAAGATCCACTGTTGACCACAGCTCCTCCACCTTGGGCTTATCCAAGGAAACAACATCTGCTACTGAAATCCAACGTAAACATCTTGTTGAAGAAAAGAGCTGTAGAGATTGTACACGCCCCAGCATTACACCAGGCTTTACCCTCCCATCCTACTTGTACCCAAGAAGGACTCTGACAAGATGCGGATGATGCACAATCTCTCTCTGTTCAACGAGCGCTACCTGGAGTTTCCACCTTTCTTCCGCCTCACAACCTTCAGCAGAACCAGCATCAGGGCTTTCAATTCCCTGATCAGCCTCAACTTGCAGGATGCTTACCTGCATATACCTATCCATCCTTCTGACCACAGGCTCCTCTGTTGACAGTGGTGATGGGTCCTGCAAAAGGGCACTTGAGACGGGAAAAACACTTTTTTCTCACCCAGGACCATTGCAAAGCACTGTCTTCTTTGTCATAAGGTAACAATAGATGCATTTAGGAGTAATGCAGGATAAGTATACAAATTGTAAAAAATGTTTAGATTTTACTAACATTTTATCAAAATCATGTATTAATGTATTTCACAAACTGACAATGCAATTGGACACTATGTGCTCCACTTTTGGGACAGCGTCAATGCGTGACGATGGTTGTTTGGATGAGCTTCACATGACAGCCAACATCCAAGGGGTTACATTCGCTAGTAAACTGATTTCAGTTAGGAATTAAGTGTCAATTAGGAAATCCCAAAAATTTTAAACTTATCCTATATCAAACTTTGCATTTCTCCCTTCTTCTTTGATCCTATGTGGGAACGTGCTTGAATCATGTTTCCAGCTCCTAAAACTAAAAATAGCCCCCCAAGCCCCCCTGCATCTCCATGGTTACGTCCAAAAGCTAGGTCAATTACTTGCCTCTCGTGCATGCAGTGCCTGCTTGAACTGACCACGTGTGCACCTCTAAACTAGAATGGGAAAGAAGGACAATCAACATCCTGCTTGTAAGGAATTCAGACATACATATTCCACGTCGGATCCCCAATCATTATGTTGCGACTGTCGGGGACAGTGCACCCTGGATTCCGGATGTGCGGAATGTCATTCCCTAACCATCTTCCCGAGGCAAGAGAGTTAACTGACATTAAAAGTCCAGTTTCCACCCTTGCCGAACAAGGCTGGAATTCCTGGGCTTGATCGTAGCGCCACCAGTGGCTATTACGAGTTATGCCCTTTCTATGCCTCTCCTATTGACCAATCAGATTCAACCCCTCGTATCACTTGCATTTGCTTCAAACAAAACCTGTGGCGCCCAGTCAAGATTGATAATCAAGATCTATATTGTGATAAAACAAGTCTTACATCGCGAAGTGCATCAAATCATGTGAGCACCTTGATTAAAAGCATGAAAAGATTTAGAAAATATCTGTTGACGAGCTAGCGGTGCACATGCTTTCCAATCCTGCAGTCGATCGAAATCTGCACAACAGTTTACGAACTAGAATTTCGATTTCGGTGCACGATTTTGATTGGACTATGCATAGATTCGTTAGTCCAGCCAAAATGTAACTCCATAATACCAGCCTAGTTCGGCAAGGGTGGAAACTGGACTTTTATAGTCAGTTAACTCACTTGCCTCGGGAAGATGTTCCCTAACTAACTCGGCTTTTAAACTTTACCTGCAATGTTGTCGTCGTCTTATTGTCGATTGTCGTTCCAAAGCAGGGGATTCCAAAGCTAGTAGTCAGTACTAGTACCAACTCATCATGCCTAAAGACAATCCTGTCGAACCTGTAATTTCTGTCACTGAAGAAACCCTCTCAGACAGCTTCCTTACAGACGACTCGTCCTCTCGCAACCTGTCTACAACTCAACAAGAAGATATGCAGGTCGATGTGCGCTCGGTCTGTCTGACCAACCCGGGTCCTGCTCTCGTTATACCAACGACTGATTGCTCCTGTCCTTTCAAAGTCCTGCTCTTGGATTCGGCTAGCTCTGCATCCCCCCTGGGAGCTAGAGATACGGTGGTTGATACGACTTCATCTCGGGTCATTTTAGATGGTCACACTTGGGTACAACGTTCACCCTCCAAGACGACAGATCGGCATTCCCGCTCCCATAATTGGCGCTCTCTTTCCAAGGATTGGCATTCCTGCTCCCGGAATCGGTGCTCTCGCTCACAGGATCGGCGCTCCCGCTCCTGGGATCGGCGTTCCCAATCCCAGGATCAGCGCTCTCGCTCACAGGATCGAGTTTCCATGAGCGTCATTGTTCCTGCTCCCGATCGTCTTCCAGTGACGGTGACCGTCATCCATCTTTGACTACCACAATAACGGCTACCCTCACGGGTTGGATACTTAAGCGGCCCATCATAGAGGATTGGATACCTACCCGATCTACCATGACCATTACCAGCGTCCCGTATACCCTTACTCACGGCTTCCTGACTATCGCTCTTCTGCCGGCTTTGCCTACCCACCCAACAGTTCACAGGATCAGTGTTCGTTGTCGTATAAAGACTCCAGATCTTTGCGAGCAATTTGACCATGCTTGCAGAACCTTTCGTGACGCAGATGCTTCAACAAGGGTATCGATTACCGATGATCGCATCACCACCTACGACACTCCATCCCCACCGGAGAACGTATCCATCCAGGCAGCTACCAACATTGATCGAAACGGTAGGTACGTTACTAGCAAAAAACGCTATCGAATGTCTTGTCACACTTCCCACCACCCTCGCGTTTTATTCCCCCATTTTTCTTGTCCCCAAAAAGGACAGTTTAAAGCTAAGGCTCATCTCCAACATGAAGACTTTCAATGCTACGTAACTCGAAACCCCACCACATTTTCGCATGACGTCTATCGTGCTCCTTCGTACGCTCATTTATCCCAGTGATTATATGGTCAGTCTCGATCTCAAGACGCTTATCTGCACATTCACATCCATCAGGGGGCACCGTCACTTCCTCCGGTTCGTTTTTCAAGACCACCATTACCAATGGAAGGTGCTCCCATTTGGAATTTCTTTGGCCCTGTGGCTTTTTACCCGCCTAACCCGACCCATCGCGAAGTTCCTACATCTTCGCGGGATCGTGTTTGATTATTATCTAGACGACTGCATTCAAGTTCACGCAGATGCCAATTTCCTCCGTCTACAACTCACCTTCACAATGCGTCTTCTCAGACAACTCCCCTGGCTAATCATCGAACAAAAGTCGGAACTCATTCCCACTCAACGTCTCTAATTCAAAGGAGCCCTGTTCGACACTCGGCAAGGTCAGATGTTCGTTCCCCACGAACGATGGGTGAAGATTCAACGTCTCATACCGTTACCACTTAAACAGCTGCTTCAACTGCGCCAATGGCAACAACTCCTGGGCATCCTAACATCGGCGCAGGCGCTCACTGTACGGGGTCGACTTCATTTGCGACCTCTCCAATGTTTTTTGCGCCCTTTATCAAGATCAACGATTGTCACACGCTGATTTCTCTACTGCTCAATCTTCACGCTCATCTTCAATGGTGGCTGGTTGTGTCAAACGTTTGCGACAGGGTCTCCTTGACGCCATTCGTCCCTCCATCTGTTCGTCCACGCTTCAACTGTCGGTTGGGGAGCACATTTTGAAGATCGGCAAGTAGCAGGGCGGTGGTCTGAAGAACGTTGCCTTCACATCAACAATCTCGAGTTCAAGGCAACAATTCTTGCGATTTCGCATTGGTCGGACCTCCTCCGGTCTTCCTCCCTCATGATCCAGTCCGACAACGCGGCGGTGGTGTGGTCCATCAACAGGATGGGATCCACGAAGTCGATGTCCCTACTCTCACTTGCTCTCGATTTCTTTCGTCTCATCGACTCCCTCAACATACCTGTCCGCGCTCGGCACATTCCTGGGATATCCAACGTCAACGTCCCCATCAGACAGACCATCACCAACCGAGTGGTCTCTTCATCCACAATCGTTCTAATGGATTTGTCAACTTTATCGGGCCCTGGAAGTAGACCTCTTCGCCTACCGCTTCAACGCTCAACTATCCCGATTCGTATCTCCCATCCCTGACGCTCGGGCTTGGGAGAACGTTAAAACTAAGGCTCATCTCCAACTTGAAGACTTTCAAAGCTATGTACCTCGAAACCCCACCACATTTTCGCATGACGTCTATCGCGCTCTTTCGTACGCTCATTCATCCCAGTGATTATATGGTCAGTCTCAAAATGCAAAGTGAGTTAGGATAAGTTTAAAAATTTGGAAATTTTAGTATAAATTGTATATTTATATGCTTATCCTATCTCACATGCGATAGGCCCACCCGACCATCCCCGCATCTTATTTAATCTAGCCTAATAAGCTCTGTGAAAGAAAATGAACTTGTAGAGGTGCACATGTGGTCAGTTCAAGCAGGCACTGCGTGCAGGAGAGGCACATAATTGACCTAGCTTTTGGACGTAACCATGGAGATGCAGGGGGCCTTGGTTGGCTATTTTTAGTTTTAGAAGCTGGAAACATGATTCAAGCACGTTCCCACATAGGATCGAAGAGGAAGGAGAAATGCAAAGTTTGAGATAGGATAAGTATATAAATATACAATTTATACTAAAATTTCCAATTTTTGTACATTTAATACTCTTGAGCACTTACGCTTATTCTCCAAACATCCAACATCGACAACATGTTATATTTGCCTTTAAACCACTCCTCGTATTTGTATATGTATTGTCCATGTGAATTACACATCAACCATAAGTATTAGTTATGGTACTGTATGGTTTGCTTTTCAAATATATGTTGTGTGAGTGTCAGTATGAGTGGGCGTGGTAAGAGTAGTGTATTGACATCTGTGCTGTTGTTGTTGTTGCAGACCACACTGCGTCGTCTTGTGTACCTCGGGATAAAGGAAATGTCACAGATCGCCCAGGATGTCATCATTGTCACCAGCAGGTATGCCTCTGGGACCTTTCTGTATTTACAGTATGACTGTCCAACAAAGCTGAATGAAGCTACATTAACTCCTTCAACACAGTAGGCCGGTATACTGACCAAGAAGCATCGAGTCCGCAGACGCCGTAGGCCGATATACTGGCCAAGCCGTAGTCACATAAAAATAGTATATATTTTTATGGACCTACCTGTAATATCATTCATTTATTAAATATATCACATTTCACAATGTCTGAAATATGTATTCCATTTCAATTTATCATTTTTTATCAATGAATTAAAAAAAAATTACTCACTATTTCCCGCAGTGTTATTGAAATCTCTGATACACACTTCGACAACCGGTCAACATCGAACATGTCAAAGAGCAAAATAATGATGTTTTAAGCAAATCTTTAAATATATTATGCAAAGTAATAAATAAAATCAACAAAAATATATCTTAAAGTTGTCAAACAAACATCTTAGTTAATATTTCCATCTTTTAGTGCGATTGCGTGTATTGTAAGTCAAATGACATCTCGGGTTTTGTCACCTTGAATTCTCGGCTCAGACACATTGTTTAATGCAAAAGTATATGCATGAAACATATTTGGCACTGCTCGTAACCTAGCACGATACATTCACAAAGTTCCACATTTTTAATATATATCATGATTTCCTGCTCAAAACGTTCAGAAAAAACGATTTAACAAAAATCTTTCGTCAACTTCTGAAATTTATCAAAAACGAGCTTTGTACCACAGCTGTAATTTGATTGGCTGTCTTAGGTCACATGCTCAAATTTTACCAATGACAAACCTTGTAGCAGATTTCAGCATGAAAGCGTCATTAGAAACCAATTTTAATCCAATGAAGTCACTTGTTATAACTATGAAAAAATTCCAGGCGATGTTATGAGCCTGTAGATAAAGGAATAAGTTTTCTAGCGATGTGTCATATGCCAGTCTTCACAAACGTGTTATTCATACAAAGCCTTGAAAACGGGGGTATTTTTTTCATGTTACTGAGCGGACAGCTGCTGTTATCGGGAAATGTGTGATGACAGATACTATTTATAATTCTGTTTAAAATGATTTTCCAATGTTGTAAACAATGAAAATAAAACAGAAATAGGTAAGTGGATTTTATGAAATCTTATATTTGCCGAAAATCGTCAAGTTTTCGCTTCCTTGGTCCTTAATCTGGACGTTAACGTGTTAGCTTACATTTTTTATTTACAACAAACTTAATTAAGTTTTAAATGCATTATTTTAAATAAAGTGAAAAACATAACTTTCATGTTTATAAACCATAGGATCAGACCTTTCAAATGGTGCATAACATGTAGCAGCAAAGATATTTTACAAGCAGATATTTTCTTTGATAAATGTTGGCTTCATTTATCACACAAGAGCCTCTGGGAACTCGGTGTCCCAGCAGTAAACACTTCTGGTTGACTGGTGTTGAAAGAGTTAAAGGGAAGTTCATGTACAATGACATTCATTGTTGTACAGAAAATATAATAAATGAAATGGATATCAAATTGAAAGCAAAGCAAAAGGGACATCACTCTCAGCTTAGTTGAGTTTTGTTAAACAAACAATGACCTATTATTGTGATTGAGTGCATCGGTGCTGTTTACAGTCCCTTACAACAGTTGTGAACCTCATACATGCATGCATCAATGTGACAAACATTTCCTTCATTTCTTGGTTCTGCTGGAGGTTGGTAAACTTATAACATGAAATATGGAACTGTAACTGTCGTTTAGAATACACCATATGAACCTTTGCGGGGTTGCATGATTAGAAAACTCATTCCGTCTGTCACTTTTCTGACCTGGTAAGTGGGACGTTCAGATGTGACCCATAATGTGATGTGTTCAGATTTTTGTTTATCAGAACTGAGATCTGGTTTTAATAAGATTGTGTGAGCCATCCTGTGTTGCAGTTTAATGAAGGACATGACAGGGAAGGAGGACCAGTTCCGTGGACCGGCCATCAGAGCTCTCTGCTCCATCACAGATGTAAGTCATACCATCACTACCGTTCAACCACAGCTCAAGGCAGGGGTTTATTTGAATCTGGTGCAGCCTAATTGGGAATCTGGGAATGTTTGGTCGCTTTTGTAATGATCAGATTAGTTTTAGAATGTCTGTCAACAATCTGCTATTGCTGTATATGACGTAAATATTTTTCATTGGGGTGGAAAATGGAAAAAAATGATTTGATTACACATACTACATGTCTGGAAAAATGGTTTGATTGTGATTCAAAATACAATGAAACCTCATTATCTTGACTGTGCCCATGTTGACCATCATGTATCTGTTGAGACAGCTAGGTGGTCATATCATACATCAAGTTTCAACTATCGTTACACTTGAAGCATTTTCAGTATGTAAACTGTTGATAGAAGTCTTTTATATGATCATCACAAAATATATCACGGGTCCGGGTAGTCCTGTGCGTACCCGGGTCCTACTCAGTACCCACCCGACCCGGGTACCCGAGTTACCCATCCTAGCCCTACTAGACATGTTTAAGAACAACACTTCTAGAATCTCCTAGCATCCTTCGCTTGATATTTCTATCTCTACGTTGTACTTGTGATTATATTTTGCTTGTGGTTGGTGACTTCATGTCTTACCTTTTCGTTGCATTAATCTTTCGCGCTCGATAGTGGCTCTTAGTCACGGTAATATCGGGCATATCATATTCTTCCAATTCGCCCTTTTCAATCCTCCACATGGTCATGTTCTCGTGCCGTGCATCTTGAATTCTTGCTTATTGCTTGGTAGTTGTTTCATGTATATTGCCTATTCTCTCTGCGGGCTTTTAAGTGTTTGTTTGCACTTTCTTTTGCGTAATTTTCTCATTCAACAAATGAATTATAAATTGTCTGCTTGGCCTGTCTACACCCCATGACCACGCTGACGGTTGCGCTTCCCTTATGTCGACGTTGTCGGCTCACTTGAGTTCCAGTGCCTCCGTGTTTTCAGACCTTTCCCTGGCCTTCCAGCTCACCAGATGTCCTGCAATCCCAGCGACCATGGTGACAACAATGGGGCTGGTGACAGCAGCATCTCGGCCTCTGTATTCGACATCTGATACAATACACCTGTGTTCACAGGTAGTGCCCCTAATAATGTGCGCAGATCATATGGATTCCTTTCAGTTTTGTCCGAAGGATCTTTTGAGCCTAAGTATGATAAATCTTCCGTTGAGAAGGACACTCATCTAAGTTGTAACCAAGTCCTTGACTGGATGAAGGACCCCTATTCTGTGGTCAAGTGGTACAGCGACCGTCCAGAGAGCGTAAGGTCCTTGGTTCGGTCATACCAGAAGACTGATGGTACTCGTTGTTACTCTATCTGGCGGTCGACATTAAGGGGCTAAAACAAGGCCTGGTAGACTCATGAGTCAGTCATGCTAGGACGCCTTTACTCTATCACCCAAGATTCCTCAGTTAGGAAGGACGTTTTCCCATCCATGCTTGGGAGATGGCGGACAGGACACACATCCAGGATGAAGATCTCCACTGAATGACAGAGTTGTCTTAGCCAGATCCAGATCCCAGATTCACTGTTGGATTTCAAACAAACAGAGGTCAGTTTTTTCCCTCAAACCCTTTTTCAGCCTGGCATGGTGAAAATTTCTGCCTTTTTTCCTGTCTCATTGGTGTACCATCAAAGTTGGGAGAACGATTCCATGGAGAAGCTGATAGTACTCTCATTGAACTTGGTTCACGTGGCTTCTTGTAGACATCATCTGTACCAGAACTTGTAGGTCATCACTATTCAGGCTCGTTTAGCCATTTGACAGATTCGTCATAGACTACCGGGTACCCACCTCGGGATCGCCGTGGACAGGTCAGGACAAGGCGTCATTAATATCATAGAGATCATTTTGCTCCTATACCGGCCACGTCACACTTTCTTCACAGAACACTGGAACATCACTTGTCTAGACCACACAGTTCACAGGGGATTGTCCATGTGTGGAGCTTGAGACTCATCTCCAGCTAAATGCGTTATTCTAGGTTACTGCGCAGGATTATTTAAATGTCAATTGTCAAGAACTCTCTGACTGTAAACATCTCCGAACAGATTTAGGTCAACTAACCTAATGCTAGCCATGCAGTGTATTTGTACACACTGGTTTGCATGCTTACTTGTACTCAATGCAGCAACCCGTCCATCTGAGTAGACCTCTGATGCCTAAATGCACAGTAATGAGACACTGCCCTTCAGCATGACCTCGATATAAGAACGGGAGCACTTAAATGGAACAATCGTTCAGACCAAAGAATTATATATTCTACTAGATACAGCATTGATTTTATAATTCTTCCCACGACCGTTATGTTGACCTCCGATGACAACACTTGAAGTAATGAGGCACCTCCCTTCATATAAGAACGTTACTGCTTATATGGTGCCAAGGGGATGGAAATGAACACCTTTCTTTAAATATAACGATCTTCCAGACCAATGTTTTATGTTTATATTCAGCTTTGTCAACTGAATACATCTTTGACTTCCCACGACTGTTATGTCGATGCCTCGGTGATCGGTAAGGGAGCACATTTATTTTGTCTTCATGGGATCTGGCATTGGTTCACAGATAAACACAACTTTCTGCATATTGTCAAGGCCCGACACGATCAGAAACCCTCCTGAAGTTGACTTTTCAACTTTACAGTCTCGTAGACAGCTTAATCTAAATCTTCTACCCACTCTTCAACAGCCGCTTACACTTTGTCGGTGACAAGTGCTCATGGAATTGCTCATGTCAGCCCAGGCCTGCATTCAATAGTCGGAGGCGCTTTCTGAGCGCTTAATCAGCTCTCTGTTCTATCGAATGATGTGTCAACTCCGCCGGCAGGGGACGCAGTTGCAAACTGATTTTAGTAATATGTTTTTAACATTGTATATGTTAAGTATTATTGTTTATAATAAACATATGATAAACAAAGTTGTATATCTTATATCATATCCACAACGTAAAACGAGGTAAGTTAACTTTCCACCGAAAAGTGATCACATATCATTTGACTTGACAAAATATCTTGTTCCCTCAGCAATCCATAAATCGGTGATGAGTTAGAATTCATGAGCTTGAAAAAGTTCCAAGTATTTTGGAAATCCTTAAATCCAATATCCCTTTGGTTCTCTAATTGATTCCAGAAATTCCCCTAAACACTTAGTGGAATAAGGGTCTCTGAAATCCTCAAAGTGAGGAACAGCTAACTGCATTCCAGTCCCCCCAAAACTCCCGCTGTCTTGCCAGCTACCCATTGTGTCACAGCTGATTAGTGACCACAAGCTCTTCTGTGGCAGACGACGTGAGTCCAAAAATAATTGTCAGCTTTTAAAAAATTGATGTTTGGTTATTTTAAACTACTTTTGAAACATTTAAATTTTCTGCAGATTAAAAAAAATGATATTGGTCAACTTGTAGATATCCCATTTAAATTTAAATTTATTGTGCATAACACAATGGCCTTATTAATACTTTCAAAAGCAGGCAAGACATATCACAAAGTATAACTCTTTTGCCATGAAACATTTATCAAGTCAGTTGTGTACGAAAATATCAAAAGTAAAGTAGACATTGATGAATAATTAAAACAAATGTTCATAATTAACAAATCAAGTGTTTTTTACATGAAGCAGAAACAGTATATACTAACTGGATTCAACATTTGACATAATAAGAAATATCTTTCAAGAGCTATAAGCGTGTTCATAAACCTGCATATGCAATGTACATCATGTTACTGCCCAGTACTACATGGTGCACGTGGTCTTCTGGTGACATTCAAGTAGATATGAGAAGTTCAGTTAAACAAACTATATAAAAATAGTTTCATCTTGGTTTTCCTTTCATGTAAATACCATAGTCACCCCTATTTCTTCTAACTTTAATGGCAAAGAGTATTTAAAACATAAATAAGTACAAAGTAACAAATGTCATATTTGGGATAAAACTTTCTCTGTAAAGTGCAAATCCTAGTAATTTTTGGAGTTAAGTCCCATCTGGGACAAAAATGGAAGTTTGACAAATGGTACTCACAAGCTTTGTGTACCACTCTGACAAGTGTATAATGGCACGGGTACAACTTTGCAATCTGTTCGCTACTTATTAATCCCACTAATTATAAAGATTAACATTTTACCCATCATATTATTCTCAAAAAGGTTTGAGGTTCCATTTTACATGTCTACATTAGATTTTGAGGAAGTTATTGAGGCATATATATCTCCATTTAATAATCTGAAGTGCCAGTCAAACATAACAAATGTTATATTTGGGATAACACTTTCTTTGTAAAGTACAGATTCTCATACTTTTTTGGATTGAGTCCAGTCCAGGATTTTGAACCCACACTGCCAGAGTGAAGCACTTAATCGCCAGCACACAAAGTCAGCGATCTAACCTACCGAGGCTGCCACAAAAATGAAAGTTCTATAACTGGCCCTGCCAATTTACACTTGTCAGAGGGATACACAAAGTAGTGATCTAGACTACTAGTTGACTACCAGTGTATATCCAAAATATAACATTTGTTACATTTGACCACTTTCTAAATGTCATTGTGTGTTCATGGCAGTCAAACAGTTTTGAACATTATTTGTAGTGGTGAACATATTGTAAATTTGCTCCAGGTATAAATCCTTTTTTCAAATTTTCACTGAAAGTGCAAGTTGAACAGAATACTACTAAAACACTAGTCTGCCTCACAGAACCTGAACCTTATTATTTTTTTCCTGCCTTCTCCTTACTGTAATGCTATAGCCCTAAAACATGAAACAAGTGTAAAATTTTCCAAAAGCTGAATCTCTCATTTCAGTGTGGCTCTTTTTCAATTTATTGGGTTATTGGTTTCTATCAAAATTATATATTTTCAGATTCTAAGCGTTAGTTGACAAACATACCTCAGTATGAGTCTAACCCAAATCTACCATCATTAGTAATGGTTAGTGAATTGCCTAATTGGGCTTAAACCCGATATATATAAATGCTTACCACATTGAACATAATTCAAATATTGGTCAAGGGATGTCAGTTTCCAGTGAATAGACACTTTATTAGTTATAACCTCCAAAACATTTTTTTCAAAGAGTTGATTTGGTCACTGTAGTGGTTAAAGAGTATCAGATTCAGTGAGAGGGGGGATGCTGACAGGGAGAGTTTTGGCTTGTGCCACTAAGTGTAAAGCTTCGATGCCATACTATTCTTAAATCAAACAGAAAACATCAGAATGTGTATTTGACTTTCATTCTGTCTCACTACATATCCTCTTGAAATGGGTTGAATGTAATATATTAACTATTCCATACTATAAATAAATAATGAAATAATATACTCTTGAATTACTGTTTGCATGGGTGGGTAATAAAATTAATGATTTGCCGATGTTGGGGAGAAATTGAAATGATTAGGCCTTCAAGAAAACCTGTATTGAAGCTATCAGCCTTATAATTGAAAATGGGGATTTTAAGAAACCCAATAAAATCTTATTTCTTAAAATGGCATTCCAGGTTATTTTATTTACCAACTTAGATAATGGTTTGATGTTAATATTCATATTTATTTAATTTCAGTATTTTCTGGACAGTTATTAAGGGGAATAAATTAAATACATCGGGTAAGACATATGATATTACCAAAACATCACGAAAAACGTCTCATAAATCACATAACAATAATTTATTACCCATAGGATTTCAAATAAGCAAGGTAATAAAATCGTATGTTCATTGGTGCAATGTCATTCACACACACTGGTATATTGTTTGTGTCATCCGGACAGCATTGTTGGCAATTCCGATCTTATTCTGACACTAGAAATGACGTCATAGCTGAAGACTGTTGACGTCATTCAACGATTGCGGTTTTCAACGACGACGGTCAACAAACAAAACAACAAACAAATAATCCAAGAAACTGCAATGTTTTAGATTTATTTAAGAAAAGACAAACACCTATGAAAATGTATGAATTTACATTTCTTTCATGGTTTATATCGCATAATAATATATGTCCAATGTTTACAAAAAGAAATCTTATGAGTGTTTATATTATTAACTTCATACCAAATTAAATTATACATGTATCTTGTTTACAAATGCATGAAAAGGATGTTTTTCTGTACTGAAAATAACATGGGTTTGCAAGGAAAAATACCCTGTGTTGCAAGGGGTTTAAAAATGCATCTATAACAATTGGGTCTTCCAGTAAATGTAATTTACTAATGTGAAGGTATTTAACTTCACCATTGAGTGCATGTATGTCTAACATGTTCTTCCATGTTGAAAATGTAAGGTTCACAGGCTCCGCATTTGTCCAAGTCCGCCATCTTTGTCCCTCGTCGTGCCTCCTCCTCAGTATGAATGGTGGCGCTAGAAATCATGCACAGCATACATTTTGTTCATTAGGTTATATTCGGTAGCACATGCTGGCACATTGGCACCCAACAGCTTATTGAACGCACCTCAGGATTTGACGAGCAGAAGTCTCCCACACCTGGGTCCGATTAAACAGTTCCTGGCACCTTACATACAACATCAGGACCCTTGCCTATCCATTTCTCTACCTCCTCACCTCAGGAGTCATCTCAGCTGGTGGGTGGTAGAGTCAAACATCTTAGGAGGTGTCTCCTTTAATGAGTTAGGAGTTATCCCCAATGTCCCTGCTGTTCATAGATACTTCTCTACAGGGTTGGGACCAGATGACCTCAGGGCCCAGGGCTGACCTCAGGGCTGTGGTCGGGTGCACAGCCCCCTTGGCACATCAACAAACTAAATTTGTAGGTGCACATATTGGCGATATGACACTGGCAGGAGCACCTGCAATACACTGAACTCTTTTTTCCACCGACAACATCACTGTGGTTTGGTGCCTACACAATCAGGACGACACACTGTCACTCCCTCCTTTAACAGAAGTTCCAGGTCTTCCTTCTGGTAGAATGACCAAGATTACAGAACTCCAAGCTTTGCTGTGCTCCTTCAGATTGGAGGATCAAAAGGCCAAGTTCAGACCCCCAGTGTGGGATTTAAATGTTGCTTTTGAGCCATTTGAGCCACTTCACTCAGCTTCATTTTACAACCTCACCAAGAAGCCGATCTTGCTCTTGGTTCATGGCTACTGCAGCAGGTCACCTATCCCAAGCGCCATTGACTCTTCCTGATGCCTAGAGCTGACCTTTCAACCTCTGTGGTGCTTGTCACCCAAGACTAAAAGGGTTTACGTGCTACTGGCATTAGCTCGGTACGTCACTTCTAGACCTTATCTCACGCTTTTTTCTATTATTGTACTGTTACCCGGATATCCTGCATCCCCCACACTCTCGTTTCTTTCTGACAAGAATGGTCACACGGTTCTAGTCATCACAAAGGATGCTTTCATGTTTCCTTTAACATTTGCCGAGGGTCTCTTGGGGATCACATCTGAAGGTATGCCCCCCTCTGTACCGTCTGATAAAGATGCATTAAGGAGTAATGCAGGATAAGTTAAAACATTTCGTAATATCTAAATAGTTTTTACATTTGTATACTTGGTTCTAAGTACCCTCCCCTCCCATCGCAGTGCTACCTCCCCACAAACTTTTCAGGTGTTATGTTCAAGTAGTAATGTGCTCATGTAAAACGTCTCCACTTCGGAGGTCACGTGGCAGCTGTGCGAGGTTATTTGCCACACAACTAGTTGGAACAACTTCTTCTGCCACTGGACCTCTCACAGCTTCGTCTTTCTTTCAAAAAACAGCAGTAAATGCAGGGTAAGTGTACATATGTAAAAAATATTTAGATTTTGCTGATATTTCTATGTCTATATAGATAAAAAGGTTGCAAAACAACTTACCTAAACTGAAGTAGCATCTGACCTCCTTGCAATTGTTTACAGAACACTATGCTGCAGAGTATTGAGAGGTATATGAAGCAGGCCATTGTGGACAAAGTCCCAGCAGTGTCCAGTGCTGCTCTTGTGTCGTCTCTGGTAGGTCAGCTTTGACAACAATGTACTTGGAAGTGGGAAGAATGTCTACCTATTGTCCAACATCTGTCTTCTTTAAAACCACTGTACCTATGAAGCTGCAACTGATCATGCTTGATCAGTGATCACAGCCCAATTTGTTAATATGGTTTGAATCTGATTTTCAATATGGTTGCTAAAGCAGTTTTCTGCAGTATTAGAACATTTTTGAAAGTTTGACCTTGATTTGAACTTTACACTGTCTATGCTCCCAAGTTCTCGCAAAATGTTTTTCACAATGTAAACATCATCCACTCAGAAACCATGTGATTGTTCCCACCAGTGACAACACCCAGTTTGTTCAAGGAGTTTGAATCCAATATGGCCACTCTGACAAGCATATTTATAGTCATATTTGTGGCCATTACTGAGACATTTTGGGGGGGCACAGGTGATCCTGTAACACATGGCAGTTTCCATGGTTTTCCAAAGTGGTAACATGTGAAGACTTAGATCACCCCTGGCTTTCAACAAATACTGTTCAGTGAAGCGTTAAACTAACTTGCTCATTTACTTGCTAAGACATTTTTGTTCAGTACATAGTTTCCATTTTTTTGTGATATTTTAAATGTTGGCCTTGATTTTACTTTGTTAACCTGTGGACCAGTGAAGCTGAAACTTCACATGCCTGTTTCCAGCTATGATTTCACCTGAGTTCATTTTGTTCACAACAGTCATGATTCATATTGATAAAGCTAGTCCTATTGTTGGCCACTACATGACCCCCTTTTCATTCAGTGTAGGGAAATATGGTATATTTTAGTTAATTCATGTATTCTTATTTATGCAATATTTTAAAGTTTGAACTAGTTTTGATCTTTGTATTTTGACCATGCTCTTGTATTCTCTCAAAATGCTTTTTTGCCTCTGAAATTGCTGGACTGAGGAAGCTAAACTTTGGTATATGTATTATTGTCTTTTGATTTTTTTCCTCAATATTTATGCAGAAAGTATTTGCTGAAAGCAAAGGTTTCTGAGCAGCTGCAATTGTTGACATTTTTATTTGTTGACTGCATATCCAGGTGATGTATTTTTTGTTTTGCATAATCAAAGTTATGTATGTGTTTGTAGCACCTGAGTAAAGGAAGCCATGACATCACCAAGCGCTGGGTGAATGAAGCCCAGGAGGCTGTCAATAGTGACAACATCATGGTGCAGGTACAGTCTTTCAGTCTCATACTGTCTTGTAGAAGCTTTCAGCCTCCTTGAATATAGGTGAAAACTTCAAACTAGGTATGCCTTCATTGCAAAGAGAGATTGTGATCATTGTGTCCCCTGCCTTGTTTGATTGATTTTGTACTGCTCACAGTTTCATGGTATGGTTTTGTTCTCTTCAGTATCATGCTCTAGGGCTGCTGTACCACATCAGGAAGAATGACAAACTGGCGGTCAACAAGCTGGTCAGCAAGTTCAGCAAGCATACACTCAAGTCACCATATGCTTACTGTTTGCTGGTAAGACTAATTTATGTCTTCTGACAGGAATGACATTTCTAAAGATATATTATGCTGAACAGCCAAAAAAAACAGTTCCAAATTTGTAAAGTTTTATATGTAAACCCCATTCCATTTTGTCTGAATTGACAATACATTGACAACATTTCACTGTGTGTGTTGAAATGATGTGTTATTTGTGTGTGACTGGTAATGAGCTGTGTATGTTGACAGATCAGGATTGCCAGCAAGCTGATCGAGGAGGAAGACGCTGGGTATGTTTGCTACCACTCTTCTCCTTTTACAGTGCCCAACCAAAGTGGAATTAGTTTTAAGGCCATATGACCAATAAATGTTCTGTGGTCTCAAGACTGTAACTCTGACCAAAGATGGATTAGTTAGTAGGCACTTCTTGTTAAAAGACATCTCCAGCCAGCAATATTGATCTATTGCATGTACATCCCAGGTCATACACCCAGCAGTAAAAGCGGCTCGTCTTTCCAGAGAAAAATGATCCGAGGCAGTATGACCAAATGTTATCAAACATAGTTTCTTGAAACTACATGTACTAGTTCAAAGACAAGTTGAATTCCATTTAATCATCCAAACATGCTGTGGTGTCTGGACAATTATTATGACACGTTATGTGCTGTCAGAGGTAACATAACATTTCCCCAACAAGTTATGTACACATTTTGAGCATGGATGTTACAATATGTGTATAAGGTGTCTTTACTATAGTGGAAGCAGTATGTTCGTAGCTTCACACTGAAGATAAGCAGTGTGTACAAGGGTTTTCACTATACTGGAAGCAGCATGTTTGTAGCTTCACACTGAAGATAAGCTGTGTGTACAAGGGTTTTTACTATAGTGGAAGCAGCGTGATCGTAGCTCCACACTGGAGATAAGCAGTGTGTATAAGGTTTTTTTACTATAGTGGAAGCAGCGTGATCGTAGCTCCACACTGGAGATAAGCAGTGTGTACAAGGGTTTTTTACTATAGTGGAAGCAGCGTGATCGTAGCTCCACACTGGAGATAAGCAGTGTTTACAAGGGTTTTTACAATAGTGGAAGCAGCGTGATCGTAGCTCCACACTGGAGATAAGCAGTGTGTAGAAGGGTTTTTACTATAGTGGAAGCAGCGTGATCGTAGCTCCACACTGAAGATAAGCAGTGTGTACAAGGGTTTTTTACTATAGTGGAAGCAGCGTGATCGTAGCTCCACACTGAAGATAAGCAGTGTGTACAAGGGTTTTTTACTATAGTGGAAGCAGTGTGATCGTAGCACCACACTGGAGATAAGCAGTGTGTACAAGGGTTTTTACTATAGTGGAAGCAGCGTGATCGTAGCTCCACACTGAAGATAAGCAGTGTGTACAAGGGTTTTTTACTATAGTGGAAGCAGCGTGATCGTAGCACCACACTGGAGATAAGCAGTGTGTACAAGGGTTTTTTACTATAGTGGAAGCAGCGTGATCGTAGCTCCACACTGAAGATAAGCAGTGTGTACAAGGGTTTTTTACTATAGTGGAAGCAGCGTGATCGTAGCTCCACACTGAAGATAAGCAGTGTGTACAAGGGTTTTTTACTATAGTGGAAGCAGCGTGATCGTAGCACCACACTGGAGATAAGCAGTGTGTACAAGGGTTTTTTACTATAGTGGAAGCAGCGTGATCGTAGCACCACACTGGAGATAAGCAGTGTGTACAAGGGTTTTTACTATAGTGGAAGCAGCATGATCGTAGCACCACACTGGAGATAAGCAGTGTGTACAAGGGTTTTTTACTTTAGTGGAAGCAGCGTGATCGTAGCTCCACACTGAAGATAAGCAGTGTGTACAAGGGTTTTTTACTATAGTGGAAGCAGCGTGATTGTAGCACCACACTGGAGATAAGCAGTGTGTACAAGGGTTTTTACTATAGTGGAAGCAGCGTGATCGTAGCTCCACACTGGAGATAAGCAGTGTTTACAAGGGTTTTTACAATAGTGGAAGCAGCGTGATCGTAGCTCCACACTGGAGATAAGCAGTGTGTATAAGGGTTTTTACTATAGTGGAAGCAGCGTGATCGTAGCTCCACACTGAAGATAAGCAGTGTGTACAAGGGTTTTTTACTATAGTGGAAGCAGCGTGATCGTAGCTCCACACTGGAGATAAGCAGTGTGTACAAGGGTTTTTACTATAGTGGAAGCAGCGTGATTGTAGCTCCACACTGGAGATAAGCAGTGTTTACAAGGGTTTTTACAATAGTGGAAGCAGCGTGATCGTAGCTCCACACTGGAGATAAGCAGTGTTTACAAGGGTTTTTACAATAGTGGAAGCAGCGTGATCGTAGCACCACACTGGAGATAAGCAGTGTGTATAAGGGTTTTTACTATAGTGGAAGCAGCGTGATCGTAGCTCCACACTGAAGATAAGCAGTGTGTACAAGGGTTTTTTACTATAGTGGAAGCAGCGTGATCGTAGCACCACACTGGAGATAAGCAGTGTGTATAAGGGTTTTTACTATAGTGGAAGCAGCGTGATCGTAGCTCCACACTGGAGATAAGCAGTGTGTATAAGGGTTTTTTACTATAGTGGAAGCAGCGTGATCGTAGCTCCACACTGAAGATAAGCAGTGTGTACAAGGGTTTTTACTTTAGTGGAAGCAGCATATTCGTAGCTTCACACTGAAGACAAGCAGTGTGTACAAGGTTTTTTTACTATAGTGGAAGCAGCGTGATCGTAGCTCCACACTGGAGATAAGCAGTGTGTATAAGGGTTTTTTACTAAAGTGGAAGCAGCGTGATCCTATGTCCACACTGGAGATAAGCAGTGTGTATAAGGTTTCTTTACTATAGTGGAAGCAGCATGTTCGTAGCTCCACACTGGAGATAAGCAGTGTGTATAAGGTTTTTTTACTATAGTGGAAGCAGCGTGATCGTAGCTCCACACTGGAGATAAGCAGTGTGTATAAGGGGTTTTTACTATAGTGGAGGCAGCGTGATTGTATCTCCACACTGGAGATAAGCAGTGTGTAGAAGGTTTTTTTACTATAGTGGAAGCAATACGATTGTAGCTCCACACTGGAGATAAGCAGTGTGAATAAGGGGTCTTTACTATAGTGGAAACAGCGTGCTCGTAGCTCCAGATGGAGATAAGCAGTGTGTATAAGGTTTCTTTACTATAGTGGAAGCAGCATGATCGTAACTCCAGACGGAGATAAGCAGTGTGTATAAGGGTTTTCACTATAGTGGAAGCAGCGTGATCGTAGCTCCACACTGGAAATAAGCAGTGTGTATTAGGTTTTTTTACTATAGTGGAAGCAGCGTGATCGTAGCTCCAGACGGTGATAAGCAGTGTGTATAAGGTTTCTTTACTATAGTGGACGCAGCCTGTTCGTAGCTCCACACCAGAGATAAGCAATGTGTATAAGGGTTTTATACTATAGTGGAAGCAGCATGATCGTAGCTCCACACTGGAGATAAGCAGTGTTTTAAGTTTTTTTTACTATAGTGGAAACAGCATGATCGTAGCTCCAGACAGGTAAGCAGTGTGTATAAGGTGTCTTTACTATAGTGGAAGCAGCATGACAGCACAGCAGAATTATTTTGGATTTGTTAAGCAGAAGATGAATGATTAACATTAGAATATTTTGAAAACATTCAGATCTGAAAGTCCAATGTTTGACTTCATTGAGAGTTGCCTGCGCCACAAGAGTGAGATGGTTATCTATGAGGCTGCCCATGCTATTGTCAACATGAAGAACACCACTGCAAAGGACCTCGCTCCAGCTGTGTCTGTACTTCAACTCTTCTGCAGCTCACCAAAACCAACTCTCAGATTTGCTGCTGTCCGCACACTCAACAAGGTAAGTTTGAACCCAAATCTTCATATTTACCATTTTATTATTTTGCAAGCATGATAGTTACCATAATTAGGTTAATATATTTAGGACAAACTACAATTGTCTGTGATCCAAAATAGCTCAAAGGTGGTTCATTTATGACAAAGTTTGTGTAACTTTTACTAACATACCATATTTTCTTGAGTATACTGCGCACATCTTTTCCAAAAAACACAGCTGTGTAAGATGGGGCTGCGCATTATACACGCAATAATGTTTTGATGGTTTTTACCTCCAACACAGAGACATTACCGTGAGCACGTAACACCGGAAATACCATGTCAAAAAATCCATACTGAAGTACGCAAATTAATCATGTAATTACACTGTCTGGCTATAGAAAGTGTTCTTTGTATATCTGGACTTATGTTTGTAACTTATTTCATAATTTTATTCAAAATTCCTTTTAATATTGTTTTAATCAATTTTGGCGAAATCGTGTGGAAGATCGCACAACTCACCGTTATAAACAGCAACCACGGTCAGATTATCGCTATTGACGCTTGAAAAGACCTTTAGTTGACAGAGAATGGATACATATATCATAAATGCCATACTTTGACTCGTTAAAGTTCATATTTGTTATAGTTTGACGACTCTATGTCAACATCTCGCGATCACGTGCGCGGGAGGCTCAACGGTGACTGGTCAAACTGGTTCCATATGAAAAATAATACCAAGCAATAGCGATCAGCTGCTTCGCTAAGTGTTATAAATATTTTAGATATATTTAGTAAAAGCTGCAACTGAAATAACAAGATATTGGAATATATTATTCCTGATAAATAAATAGTTTCAGATACAATTTTTGCCGGTCCTTGCATTAAAATCCTGTAAAGTTATATCATTGGGTGTGTCTTGACCTAATCACCGGAAGATTCCAAGAAAACGTCTGTACAGCTGATTGCTGTTTCCGGCTTAGTTTACGAGAAAATACACAAGGTAATCTTAATCCCTGGATGTAAAACAATGCCTAGCAGAACAACAAATACAATTTAAACGGTAAATCAACATGTCTGGTGATTTTTTTATCTCAAGTTTCAAATTTGTACTGACCAAGTTTCTCATCAGCCGTTCATTTACCGGAATTTGCTGCAGTGATACAGTGTAATTTTTTTGCACATAATATTCAATATTTTTTTCCAAAATACTGAATCCGCTAGAGGGTGCGCACTATACTCATGAAAATACGGTAATGTTGAGGGCAGATGCGATGACATACTTTCGAGTAAAAAGAGCTGTGTGATCAGGTGTTGAGATGTTGTGATGTAGTCACTATCTGAATGGTGATGTTCCAGGTGGCCATGAAGCACCCTGCTGCGGTCACTGCCTGTAACCTTGACCTGGAGAACCTGATCACTGACGTCAACCGCAGCATTGCAACATTGGCCATCACCACATTACTTAAGACTGGAAATGAGAGCAGTGTAGATCGCCTGATGAAGCAGATTTCATCCTTCATGTCTGAGATCTCGGATGAGTTTAAGATAGTCGTTGTGCAGGCTATCAGGTAGGTTGAGTTTATTAATGCTATGTAAGCTTTTGCCTCTTTCAAACCTTACCTATCAATATTAACCCATGAAAATCCAGATTAGAATAGCAATCCATGCTTGCCGTAAGGAGTGACTTAACGGGATTTGATGGTCAGGCTCTTTGACTTGGTTGATGCATGTCATCGTATACCAATTGCTTAGGTCGATGCTCATGATGTCAATCACTGGATTGTCTGTCTAGACTCGATTATTCACAGACCGCTGTCATATAGCTGGAACATTGCTGAGGGCAGCGTTAACAACAAACTTATCAATATTGCTTATAATATCATATCTTGCAGCCCATACTATTTGATGGGGTCTTTATCTATATAGATAATATGTGGTGTTTCTTCATTCAGGTCACTGTGTGCAAAGTTCCCACGGAAACACAGCGTGCTGATGAACTTCCTCTCTTCAATGCTGAGAGATGAGGTGAGGCTCGTCACAGTCTTCACATCAGCTTCACACCAGCCTCACACCAACAAGCCACACCTTATCAATATGATATATATATATATGTAAAGTATCTAACACAAGAGGTGTTTGATGAAAATTTGAAAATTGTTTGTTTTCAGGGAGGTTTTGACTACAAGAAGGCCATTGTTGACTGTATAATAACCATCATTGAGGAGAACCCAGAGGCAAAGGAAGCTGGTAAGTTGGACCATTACTGCTTGTGGTGTCCCCTTCAAGTGTATACTTTAGTAATACATGTATAGTGTTGTGTGGCATGCATGTGGAACATTCCCTCCAGATGTATTCTGTGTTTCAGGTTTGGCTCACCTCTGCGAGTTCATCGAGGACTGTGAACACACTGTGTTGGCCACACGCATCCTACACCTGCTGGGTCGTGAGGGTCCACGCACCCCCACACCTTCCAAATATATCCGGTTCATTTACAACAGGGTTATTCTGGAAAATGCAGCAGTAAGGGCAGGTCAGTGGTAGTTTCTGGGGTTCTCCTGGAATATTGATAAAAGCTGCATAAAAACATACATGAAACTTGGCATCGCTGACTCTTGGGGGACCTTAGGTGCTGCAGTGTGTTGCACAGAGTTGTGTCCCCTTGTAGTGCTAAGCTTTGATTATCTTTGGTTTAAATCACAGTATCACCTTAAATTGATCCTTTGTCTGTCAACTCCAAACCCATTGTAATTGGTTTTGCCAATGTGGTATTCCTCACAACACAACACACAACACACATTAAGTTGACATGCTATGATATTTCTGAAATATGTTTGAAAGGGGGTTTAATCCAACTCTATTTACAACTGTTAAAATGCTATGTTCCGTTGTGTAGCGTGACACTTGTTTCAGCTGCTGTGAGTGCTCTAGCCAAGTTTGGTGGCCACTGTGAGGAGCTCCTACCAAGCTGCATTGTACTTCTGGAGAGGTAATGTGTTTACCTTATTTCTCTTTTATATATTCTGTTGCAATGAATTCACAATTATTTTTAATACTTTCAAAGCAACTGTGATTATTTTAATTTAGCTGTTGTGGTCCCGTCTTATCAGTCCCCTGCACTGCTGCTTGTCGCTCATTACAGATGTCAGCTTGACAGTGATGATGAGGTTCGGGACCGGGCCACATTCTATGTCAACATCCTTAAGCAGCAGCAGAAGGCTCTCAATTCTGCCTACATCTTGAATGGTAAGTGGATCTATCTAACATCCTCTAGCATTTAATACTTGTCATAATGCTTTCGGCTGACATTGAATAGGTTGAAATGTTTTTTAAACACAGCAATGTGTACATAATATCCAAAGTAATACAATCTGTATGTCATTATTATTGTCTGATTTCTAGCATGCCATTTCAATGCCTTTTGAAAAGTAGCTGAACTGAGTTATGAATTTTATCTTTGAAGCCTTTCATATTTCATACCAAGGGTTGTGGTTACCATCACCACAGGCCTATCAGTTAAGAAGGATTTTGGAACTAGAGGGTCTCTATATTCCCTCTACACATAGTGAGGAAGGCTGTATTAATTAGGTCCCTTTTTTCTTCTTGACCGAGTTTCAATATTTCCTATTACCAGGTTAATTATACATAGCCTTTGGTGTTTTTGTAATTCACAGATGATAACCAAGACATATAGCTCCATGACATACCGTATATGACGGCGGATAAGCCGACCCCGTAGATAAGCCGAGGTGTTAATTTGACCATTGAAATACGAAAGAAAATGAAATGACCCGCAGATAAGCCGAATCAGGAATTGAAAGACAAAAAACACTGCAAAGTCGGACTGAAAGACATGTGCCGGGACTCGCAGATATTCAAAAATATAAGATGAAAAACGTTGTAATTATATTGAAAAAGTCATTATTATATCTAATAAAGATTTAACAAACCAGTCATCCACTTTCATAATGTGAGAAGCTGTTTCTCGTGTGTTTTTTTAATCTCATAATGATCGTTATATGTTGCCATTAACAACCAAGCGCCATTTTGTGAATCGGTGTATATAGAATTATGAACCCGTGAGAAAATATATCAGCTGGAGCGAAATGGCAGTTTGAATTCAGCATCGTAAGCATGGCGTTTTCGTTTAAATCTCATGATGAAAATGTCAGTCAGTAAAAATATACCAACTTTTATAACCCCCTTTACACCACTATTGTATGTTAATCCAATTGCATTAAATAAACTATCATACTATGAACACATTGAATGACCATCACTTACTCACAGGCTTTTCCAGTTTATGAAACTAATCTCTCGAAAACAAAGGAATTAAGCCCCTACTCCCAACACGATCGCTAAGCACCCACAACTTGAAAATGTTTGTGTAAACAACATGACAATACCAATCGGCCCGTTATTATCAATGCTCATTTCCTTGTGTACCGTGTTGCTTTAAACAACAGGAAACAATCACAGTGGTCACCGTTTGTGACGTCACAGGAAACAGCTGATCACATGTTTTTGCAAATGGCGAACGGAATAACTCGCCGATACAGTTGTTTATTTGCCTCTTTCAATAAAGGTAGACACTTGTTCACTATCAATTTATGAACTTTGCAAAACGTACGTAATAGCTATTGGCGATTTTATCTGGGGATTATATTTTATAGCTGTGAATTACATATATTGTTACATGTAAAGATTGTGGAGTTTACGAAGAACGATAAACTTTGAACATTCAATTGAAAACTTATTATCGGAAGTAGTAACATGCATAACATTTTTTTAATAATGACAACATTGGTGTATAATAATAACTTTATTGATAATTTATAACAATAATGGCTCTAGTCGTGGCAACTTCCAAACTTTCGGGAAGTTGTAATCTATCGGACCGTCATTCAGGCAATGTTTCTGACAGATGACGATCTGAAAAATACTATCATGAAAGTGTATCCCGTGGATAAGCCGACCCCTTTCTACAGAATCTTTTTCCTGGTCCTCAAAATTCGGCTTATACGCGGTCATATACGGTACACAGCATGTGCATATGTTTGCTTTGACTGAATTTATTGTTTTCTGTTTCTGATGGGAATATTTGAAACATTGTCAAAATGTATTCCATTGCATACAAGCAATGGTGTTCAAGTTCGTGTGCAATTGATTGCCAGAACTAAAGCTTTAAAAAATATAAGAATTGGTTCTCAGGCAATGACTTTTGAAAATGTATTACAGGCGGTGTTTTGTTGTTGTTGTTGTTCAAACTAGTATGTAACCAAATAAGCAGTTGTGTTGTGTTTCAACCTGGGAAAGGGTCTTCGTACATACATGTATTCCTTGATGAGTAAATCACTGGAATACAGTATTTGACTAGCGTTGGACTTCCAGTGTGCATAATACATGCATACAATGAACCATTCATCACCACTCGCCCCTTTCAGTAATCTGCATGAAGACTTGTCCCCCTATCGATGAATGTTATTTGCGACAAAGCAATCCATATGCTTGTGTGTCTTCAGACAGAGAATCCCTCAGTAATAATTTTGATTTTACAAGTCTTACATCTTAAGATATACCCAAGATTCATTTAAATCTTTTCAATCATACAGTATAATACTGCATGTCCCGATGTGCTTTAAATTGCATCTGAAATATATATGATACATGGGGAAATATACATGAATCATTACGCAGAAAGCAACAAAACTTTTAGCTATGAACATTAGTCTTCGGTCTTTCTATCACTGTATTGAAATTTCCTTTCAGTTATGACATTGGCCATGATATTATGTATATTTTTTACTTATCCTGCATTACTCCTTAATGCATATTACTGCTTGTTCTTGACAGAGAAAAGAGCTGTGTGAAGATCTTTGCTTGAAGAAGTTGTTCCAACTAGCTGAGAGGCGAACCCTATCACGCAGCTCCCATGTGACCAGGGGAAGTGATGTCACGGATCCTCACATAACTCTTGTCACTTGATAAGTGAAAACCTGTTTTTGACCTGTAGCATAAAACTTGTTCAACCCCTCACATGTTTTGCTTCTTGAGTTAATGTTTATTGTGCTTGTGTTGTGCATACAGTTTGTATCTTTGTACATTGTATGTTTTAACTTGTGCATAACTTTTTTTGACACCTGCTGGTGTTTTCTAAAAAAGAAAACAATGGTAATCGTGGTAATACACGGTGTCTTTTTGTTTCAAGTAGCCATCTTAAATATTTTACGTGGCCGCGCGGTTATGAACTGGCTTTCGTGCTATATGTCAGCCTCCTCGGTCTCAGTCTCTACCCAGAGCACCTTGAAGACCACCACCACGTCTATCTTCATGGTGGCAACCACCACCATGACGCCCAGCGGGGTGCTCTCCTACCAGATGGCGCCTATCCAGTCCACCGGACAGATGCCCTTGGGCAATGGCTTTCAACAGGCGCCCCCGTCTATGTCCCAGCCGCCTATGATGGATGCCTCTCTCCTACAGTACATCCAGTACTTGCGGGCCATGCAACAGACGCCTCGGCCTCAGCCCCAGCGCCAATACAGACGCCTCTACAAGGGCCGCCCACAGAGCCTCCCTACTATCGGTCGTCAATCCACCGTCTACCTCCCATTACTCCTAGGACTCTGCTTCGCCCAGTACTTCCTCCTGTTGGAGTGACAGTCGCTCGTCTCACCAGATTCACCGATCTAGGAGCCACTCTCCCGTCCATAGATGCTCTAACGGATACGGCTCGGACTCCTCGAGGGATGACTTTGTCCCATGCTATGATGGCGAGTCCCACCTTGGGCTAGACCAGGTAGCAGGTGGACAGACTTGAGCCAGTCGCTTCCTCCCCTGGTCTAGAGATTGATAGTAAGGACGCCCTTAGATTGGACCCTACCTCTCTCTCACTGGATTCTTGATCAAGAACATGATCTCGGCACTTGATGAGGACTTTAGCAAGCTCTCACTGATTCTGTCTTTTTGTGCTCCACGCTACAGACTGAGTGATTATCCGATCCACTCTCTCCAGGTTGAAGACCACGACCATGAGTTAGATGAGGATCTCCACCGCATGACTGGGTCCAACCGTCCCACCTCTGTATGAGTTTCCAACAACAAACAGGCTTATATGGAAACAACTCGCACTTTTCGCGTCGACCTCCAGAGCCATTCTCGAGGACCTGTAGGAGGATAATCCACACCGGATAGACCACCTTACCACCGTCTTATACTTCCTTCAATGACAGGTCGAGCATATCGCTCCCATATGCGTGCCGCTCTGATAGAACTCACAACCACACAGCGCCTGGGCTACCTTGTTTTGTCTGATTGGGACCCAGAGATCAAGAAGGACCTGCTTCGTCAACCCTGGTCTTCCTCTGACCTATTTAATGGACAGGTCTCCAAGACCCACTCCCGAGTTTCAGCCTTCGCCCGAGACGAGACTGCTCTCAAGGTCCTGGCTAGGGTATCACAGCCAGCCTCCTTTAAGCCGTCCCAGTCTGGCTCCTACCAGCCATGACGCAACACTCTCCTCAACTTTTTGGTGTTAAGGCAGAGGCAAAGGCATGTCCTCGGGCTCGTACCAGAGCCTCGATCTGACTTTGGTCGCGTCCTAGTGGCCGACGAGGGCCTGGTATGTAGACCCACTGGCCAAACCATTTGATTCACCCACACAGCAGGCAGCCACACCCAGGGCCAGACAGGATCCTTTGCAGGTTATTTCTTCATGTCTGGTCCATCTACATCACGATGGCTTATCGCCCGACCACCAGGAGCCCAGACAACAACAAGTGGCTATCCTTCGAGCTTTTGCAGGGGAAAACAGCAAGACCCCACTACTGCATAACCTCAATACCTGGCCGAGTTCCTACTCTTATCTTTGCCACAAGTGTAGCCTCATGGGTAGTACCATAACGACCTACCTTGTGGCACTTTACTCCGTCCTGGCAGTTCCGGGAGATCGGTGCATAACGAAAAACCCAGAACTACAGGCTCTGCTCCGCTCATTCAGGTTGGAAAACCAGAAGGCAAAATTTTGTCCACCAGCTTGGGATCTGAACATCATTCTCACCTTGCTGCAAGAGACGTGCCCTTGAGTCCTTGACACGGCGTCGTTCCACCATCTGAGGATAAAGACGGTCTTCCTCCTGGCACTTGCTACACGCCCTGGACGTCATGCGCGTCTGCTTTGAGCATGGAGTGCATGGAGCTGTTTATCTCGGGACTGTGCTGGGACTTTATTGCCAAGAACCAGCTCCGAGGACAGTCCGATAGATCGTTTCTTATCCCTCCCCTATCTTCGATTGTTGACGCGGAAGACGAACAAGAGCTTCTCCTGTGCCCAGTGGGGGCATTACATTGTTACATCTGTTGGTCCAAGGAACACCGCGTCTTTGTACCAGCATCAGCGAACTCGCCGGCAGAAGTCGGCTGCAACACAATCGCCCCCTGGCTGCGTGCCATCATTCTCCTGGCCTATGAAGCTGCGGGATTCGACCCCTAAGCTTCAACAACCCGCATGAGATCTGGGCGGTCGCCTCCACTATGGCACTACACAGCAACTGTGTTTCCTCATGGAGGTTTGTTTCTGGTGATTGAACACAGTCTCCGCCAGTCACTGCCTACGAGACGTCGCTTTGGAGGATGTGCAAGGCATGCAGAGTTTTGGTCCATTAGTAGTGGCCAAACAGGTCACCACTACTAGACGCCATTGAGCTCGCCTCCAGTCCAGAGCTTGCCTCTCGACCTCCCCTGGCTTAAGTGCCCTGGAGTAAAAGGTGCATGCCCCGCCTGAATAAAGATGCATTAAGGAGTAATGCAGGATAAGTAAAAAGTCTAGTAAAATCCTAGATATTTTTTATATTTGCATAATTATCCTGCCTCCCCACGATGCCTTCCAATGTTCCGGACTCCAGAGTTATGTGAGGATCCGTGACATCACTTCCCCTGGTCACATGGGAGCTGCGTGATAGGGTTCGCCTCTCAGCTAGTCGGAACAACTTCTTCAAGCAAAGATCTTCACACATCTCTTTCCTCTGTCAAGAACAAGCAGTAATATGCATTAAGGAGTAATGCAGGATAAGTATACAAATATAAAAGATATCTAGGATTTTACTAGGTTTAAAACTAAATCACCCGTAGATTGGGGAGAAAATGTGTGAACAGCTGATTGCTATTCCCGGCTTATTTTACGAGACATATACTCATGTAATCTTAATCTCTGCGTATGAAACATTGTCTGGCAAACAGTACGCAAATGCCATTGAATTTGTAAATTATCTTATCTAGTGATGTTTTATCGTAAATTTCATGTTTTCATAAACCAAATTTGCAAACTGCAAAACAAGCACACAAACTCCTATTGCCTCCATGACCATAACACGAGCTGCGCAGTAAAGCAGGGCGCACTATTTTGGATCACATTGTTTTGAAGTTTTGCAGTATTTCCCTACTGGGATTGTGTGTTGGAGACGCTGAATATTTAAGGTTTTTTAATTTTTGAAAAAAATGGAAATAAAAAAAGAAATGTGCAGTGGACTTGGTGATGTGGGCGGTACCTGAGAACCAAGACTATTATTTTTTTTTAGCCTAATAGGAGCCTCGCAGTTATATGAGAATAAGGCCTTGGTGACTGTATTATAATGGATGACACTGATGCATTTATTTTACAACTTAAACATTTATATTAATTAATTGAGAAATCAATGATATATGTTTGTTTCAAATATGTTCCCTTTGAAATCAAGTCTCAATGAACGGATAACGTAATTGTGAAAACAATAGGATGACACCAGTCAGTGTCACTTGTAAACTTCTAGAACCAAGGAATAGGATGAGGTTTGACTGGCAGACGTATAAAGGCACTGACCTGGCCATTGTTTGGTGTGTTTGCAGGCCTTCAGGTTTCTGTGGTTGGACTTGAGAGAGCACTACACAACTACACATTGGAGCCCACAGACACCCCCTTTGACTTGAAGTCTGTACCACTGGACACACAGCCCATGCAGGATCAGAGACCCTCAGGTGAGTACAACAGCTGTGCTTGGCAGTGAAGGGAGGACTATAACACTATGTAGTAAACAACTGAAAACACAATGCATGTTTAACACTTTTTTGAAAGATAAAAGGACAGTATGTTGAGTAATCTAGGCAAGATGTTTAATGTAGAAAAAGATCACCACTAGATTTACCTTTAGGGTGTATGTTACGACTTATTACCTACTATCCTGGACTTGAGCCACAAGGTTACAGCATGTGCTGTGACATAAACTGATTCAAATATTATGGAGTTTGACCAAACTGTTGACAACACAACATCAGACAAGAATGAATCTTGATGGCACAAATTACATGGTAGACAGAGGACTCTATACAATGAGAATCATTTCAATGTTCTTGTTATCTAAGATACTGTATAGGTTTTCATCCTTAACAAAGTTAGGTTTTACAGAACCAAACATGTGGAATACCTCATCTCCAAGAGACATCATGAGTTAAGGAAAGAAATATTTACCTTAAGACTAAGCATGATAAGATGAAATGCTCATGTTTGTTTTCTGCGGTAGTGCGAGATGGGGGTGAAATGGGTGCCAAGACATCAGAGAAGGTGGTAGCCTCCAGACAAGATGTATTTGCAGGTAAGGCGAACTTCCAGGTATTCAAGACTATTTTATGGCCTATTGCTTTTTAACCTTTGTGGAATGTTATTATTCTAGACCAGTAAATGTTGTTTTATGACACAGTCTGAGTGGAGTAGGACGGAGTGGGCAGGTGCCCTAAACTGCCAGGTATGTGAAGGTATCCCGCTAGTGACCAACAATGTTTACAGGTCTTTACAGTGTTGTCACTGTACAGTACTTTTACTCTGTGCATTCAAAAGAACCCACTCATCTGATGCTAGATGACCAGATGGTGGAAACACCAATATGTTCAAACACCCAAAACACAATTGTCAAATTAATCCAAATGTGTCCCTGTTAACTTAGCAATGAATGGGCATCGGATATGTGAGGTGGACATAAAAACCTCTAGCGCCTGTGAGCAGCTTGGGTTGTATAACTCCCTTGGGAGTTGAGAATGATAACTGGAATGCATACAGATCCACTGGTCAGGGAACAAATATGCCGCATCTGAGCAGTCACTAGTATCTGGATAAGAGAGGTATATAAATGTATAATAAGATGGTCAGCAATATCCCAAACTCTGTCAAGGCAGCCTGATAATGTTCTAGTCTTGGCCAGGAAAATCACTGTTCAATAGTATGCAACACCATATGGGAAAATGTTTGATTGAGGGTATGGTAGTAACAGAATCTGTTTTTTGACACATGTATATGTTTCTCAGTAATCTTTGAAATGACCCATCAAAACAATTCTAGCTACTTTGAGTATAACGGTAACAGATTTCATCTCAAGATAATCCCAGCCAGTGTGTCAGGAAGTGACTTATGTTAGACTGAGCGTACAAAGGATCTTTTTTGCCCTTGGATCACAATAAGGGCAAATTAAGCCCTTAAATTTGAGAGTTATTTATTATTTGATCGATAACTGTGAAATCATTTTGTATGTAGTACTGGGACTTGTTGTTCCTCTTCTCTGGAATCAAGGTGCAGACTGAGAGTGAGAGAGTGAAACTAGATAACTTCAAGATTGTTCCCAGCATCATCATGGGCAGCAGCAGCTCCATAAACATGATGCCAATTTTCCACATAGACAAATTCATAAATACTTGTCAGGATAATTCCCTCATGGGATTTAAAGACTTGGAAAGCAAGTTAAGAACAAATCAGCAAGATTATTAAGCAAGTAGGAATTGTCCCAACATTGAGAGTGATGTAGAGAGTAGTATGTGTCAACAACAACTCTTCTTTCTTCCAGAACAAATCGCATTAGTACCAGAACTTGCTAACCTTGGCCCCCTATTCCGGTCATCGCAGCCTCTTGAACTGACAGAATCAGAAACGGAGTATGTTGTACAGTGTGTGAAGCATACGTTCAGCAACTACATTGTGTTCCAGGTGAGTTGCCCACATTCCAGGCAGACACTGGACACACACATTCACACGTGTGGAGATCAATAGCTTAAACTCTGTAGCACAACTGTAACACTATGACCATTTCCCCATTGTCAGATTATTGATTTGAACAAAGAAAACTAAAATCGAGATCATGCATTACTCCTTAACCCTCTGGATGCCACAGGGACATATATGTCTCTCCCTCTACAACCCTCACTTTGAAGTCGAATAAAATTCAAAATACATCACCCACACAGATACACTTCACTGTTGAAGAATGTGGGGAATTCCCTGCTACGCAAACACAAACGCCGAAGTGAACTTGCTGCCATATTGGATATTGTTTACAAAATCATGTTTCAGGTACACCTTTAATGAGACGCCTGTAACATCACCTTTATTTCAAACTTAGCTGCTATGCAAACATACTTGAATTCCTCATACATTTTAGAATCAAATGACGAATGGTCTTTGTCACTAATACAAATTGCCCAGATGAAATCAAGCAAAATAAGTTACGTGTGAAAACGAACGCTGTGCTCGAAAAGCTGTACTTGTTTGAATTGTAAACAAAGCAAAATTCAGATTTTACACAGTGTAGCATTTTCTCCAATTTTGAGCTATCCATTCGTCTGTTCGTTCAAGATATGGTCTCAACCTTTTCAGAATATGCATGGGAAGAGAATCGTAGGAAGAATTAGGGAATTTAAAATAGATACATTGCAATGATTTGATATTTTCAACAGAAATTGTCAAAGTTACCGTCCTGTGTGACGCCATGACTGACGCAAAATCAAGCACAATGACAACAGTATTTATCGGAATTTCTGTTTATTTCTGTTGGTGTCAATGAAAAATATAACAACAAATAACAGAAAATAGATTGTCATAATGTTTCTGATTACTTACATGTCACATTTATGTATATACGATCCCTGAATCAATGAAAGTCCCCTCGTAAAATCCTGCGTATTGTTGACAGTGAACACGCCATTTTGTAAAAGTCGGTCAGCGGTAGTGATGTCATACGTCAACATTGTTGTACATATTTGGTAATTTCTTTGAGGTGAAGGTCCTTGAATGAGAGTGCACACGATCATTGTATCATGCTGTTTACAGTTTCAGTTATGATGTAGATTTTGCATATCTTTTATACATTTTTTCACACAATTAATTTCACTTTGGATATTCTTCAATGTTCAAAATGATATCATATGTAAATATAGGCCACAACATGTATGGACAAACCTTTGATAATCTCCTGTTTGTTTGAACATTGTTTACATAAGAATTGATAGGTTTATAGTGTCAAATACGGTATTTCTTTTGGACAAGTGTTACAAGATGAAATGTAACTGCAGCATGTATGTATTTCTTGGATGTGTAATAGTCAATATTATAAGTTCATATAACCAATGTCCATGACGGAATAACCGTTTCATTTTATTTTATAACTAAAACTGAATATATTACTTTAACAAAATGGATAATATTTTTCGTTAAAATATATGCACACATTTCTGAAAGAATTGTGTTGATCTTGGAATTGTTTTTTTATGTCGTTGGATACACAGAACAGTGATATCTAATGATTCGTGGGCGATCGGGTAGCCTAGTGGTTAAAGCGTTCGCTCGTCATGCCGAAGACCCGGGTTCGATTCCCGACATGGGTACAATGTGTGAAGCCCATTCCTGGTGTCCCCTGCCGTGATATTGCTGGAATATTGCTAAAAGCGGCGTAAAACCATACTCACTCACTCACTGACTCACTCTAACGATTCGCCAAGTGCACGTTAGCCACAGACAATTTACGAAATATTCCTCTCGTTTTGCATTATATAATCAATTGGTTCATTCTTTTTTCAATATTGTGATCACAAGATATTAAACTGTTTACATTTTATTTCTCCAGGAATTGTAAAAAGTTAAAAATAAAACCCATGCCATGTACCCTTTTGGTTCAACCATATACGATTATCCTGATAATTCTATACCAATAGAGCTTTCTTCGCATCTTTCATTGTGTAATTCTGAGACGAGATGAAGAGAAATAATAGCATAATAATGAACAAATATATGTCCAATATTGAATATAATTTTGGTTGTTTTGAAATATTCTTTTGAGTATTTCATTACGTAAATTGATGCCAAACAGGTGTGTGTCTTGTCCAATTAAGATACACGATAAACTATCTAATTGTATATATATTCAATACATTATTTACTTGGTGAAAGCAGTCATTTTATGTTGTGTCGAAAAAGCGTCAAATTCAGTTTTACACATCAAGATTTACCATACCATGAATGAAAATTAGGGGAGATATATATTAATCAAAATATCAGTGTCGTCTTTCTCCGAAGTTATCAACGACATAAAACTAGCCCTGAGGTCAAATAGAATGATGTTCTTATTTTGGTATTTCATAACATTTGATGATAAGGCTAGTGTTCCGTTAATAATGGTGCAACCTTAGTCAAATTACACTTATACATTCAGGAGAATGTTGGAATCTAAGGACTAGGTTATAGGTTAGATAGGGCCATCCATTTCTCTATTACCTCTTTTTGATGAAGTTTTTTTTATTTATAACTAAACGTATACAGTTTCAATATTTCGATATTTGTGTTGGAATAGTTTGGTTCCTCGTGAACAAAACACCACGAGAATATATTGTCCTCATCCACAGCTAATTCTCACAAAGTGACCTGAGTTACAATAAACTAGTGCTAAGCATAGCGGAGTTATGCCCCCCTTTCTTTGTACATGCGCCTTTTGTTGTCATAGAGAAAAATCATTTTTTGTCATTTACGGCATGCTGTGTTTGGCATTGAATGTATGTCGTTATACATACGCATATAACACCATTTGAAATACAGTTATGTCGTTCAGATATTAGGCAGTATTTTGTTCGCTCACAGTTTCCATAAAGCTTCTAAATATAAGAAATCGTCACACAGTACTTTTGTCGGTGTACGATAAAAAGCGGAGAAATTTAGTTTTTCAATGTAGAATAAGTTCTCGGACAACACTTAGAAATGTCTTTTTTTAAAACCAGTTTAATATTTGCAGTTTAACTTATACCTTCAAATAGGAAATTTAACATTCTCCACCTCTGCATATTTTATGCACAACCTTCACTTTTCAGATCTTTGGAATATGTGCTTCATAAAAAACAAACTCGGCATCCAGAGGGTTAATGCATTCACTGCTTACCTTTGATTGATCCTGCTGAAGAGAGTAAAGTGGTGTTCCATTCTGAAGCAGGACTCTCCCAATCACTAGCTGCCTGCTTACCTTTGATTGATCCTGCTGAAGAGAGTAAAGTGGTGTTCCATTCTGAAGCAGGACTCTCCCAATCACTAGCTGCCACTTCATACCGGAAGTGGTACACGACTGATGTCTCCATATTATTGTTGGTCACAGTACTGAACACGTGCTGCTAATTGGTCCGCTATTTTCGCTGTTTGCTGTCCCTGTGACTTTCAACTCTTCTATCTAGGAACCCATATCCACCTCTCTGTGATGGGTGGTGCCGGTTTGGAGTATTTTAATAATATGTATTATTAGCACATCAAAGTGATAGTTTGTCATTGTTTTTCACATGTTGTTCCGTTCCGCCATTTTGCATTGCTGACATATCGCTGTCCTTCGCGAATATGGATCTGTGTTTCATGGCCGGCTAGGTATTAGCATTTCATTTAAATACCTTTGTATTGGCACTTTATCCACGGTTATTCATATATTGAGCTCTTTATCTTTTATTGTGAACTGTAACTTGGTTAGTTCTCCGTAATTGGCGGCTGTATTTAAAGTAACCTTTGCATATTTGTTTAACAATTGGTGCTAGTTATGTGCACTTTAAACCATTGTACGGTTATTAAAGTATTAAATGTTAATTTACTCACCGTTTGCGCCTCAAGCCTACAGGCAATTCGACTATGCCTAGGCTACCTGACAATCCTATCATGGTTGTGCCTACGGGTCAAGTGACTACACCTGTGCTATCCAACCCTCAGGGCCAATTATTATCAGTGCGCGTAACTAGGGCCTGCCTATCAGCATACTACTGTAGTGTCTTCGGTGTCTTACGCACCACCAGCTCTTCAGGTGAATACACTTGCCCAAGCTCGTGCTATACCTCAAGTGCCTCTTATGGTCCCATCTACAGATATGCCTATTCCAGGCTTGGGTACTCCATCATCGTCTTGGTCCATGTCACGGGACTGTTTCCATGCAGGGCATCTGGACGATCTTCCAAGGCATCTAAGTCACAACAGTGCTCCAGGAGCCACTTTCCTGTCAAACATTTGGAGCATTATCATTCAGACACCTCTGAGTTGAATACCCTGCGAAGCTGAATACACACCAAGGCCTTACTCAGATGCCAGATTTGATGGCTGACCGTCTCAGCGGTAGCGCCTTCTTCCCCTTGCTCAGGCATCGACAAGAGGGACATGATCTGGTCACAACAGCTTTTAAGGCGCCAAAATTTAGAAGGGATGACTTTCCGTACACGCCTTTGGGGTAGCAGATCACACTGATGACTTGGACGAGGATCTCCATGGGATGACAGGCTCGTCCAAGCCTATTACCATTAAGATCCCTGACAGTAATTTCGCATTCATAGAAACAGAAATCAGGCGGTCCCTAAAACCCTTGTCATCTCGTGCTATGGACCAAGATCTTTCCGAGACCAATGCCAATAGGATTGATCTTGATGGTGGTAGATTTCCAACAAAGGCAATTTGACAACATGCGTAATCACTTAAGTTGGCTTGAGCTGAGATTACCACCACCCGCCGTCTGGGGTATCTGGTCTTATCCAATTGGGATTCTAAATTTAAGTGCCGGTTGCTTTGGCAGCCTTTTTCTGCCTCAACATTATTTAATGGCTGATTAACTGACACACACACCAAAGTCTTGACCTATGCTCGACACAAGACAGCACTCAAGGCTCTGGAACGTGTCCCAGGACCTTGGCCAACGTGCTTCAAAAGGAATTATCGACCCAGGCGCTCATCCCTCAAGGACCAGACCATTGATCTGTCCTCCTTTCATGGCAAATAACGAGGCAGGGGCAGAGGCCAAGCCTCCTATCAATCCCGTAGGGGGCCCGTAGGGGTAGTTCCCCAGGTAGGAGCGGGGACCGGAAGAGGAAACATTGACCAAGTGAACAATCACGACTGGGATCTCTTACCTCCAGTTGTCCCAATAGTCAACACACCAGATTGCTATGATATCAATCACTAGATTGTCCAGACTTGATTATTTACAGACCACTGTCATATAGCTGGAATATTGCTGAGTGCGACGTCAAACAACAAACAAACCCAGAGCATCCTCCATACTTTCATCTCATTACCTTGAGACTGCTCAGGGCCAGCATCAATGCTAACGGCTCCCTGATCAGGCTCGATCTGCAGGATGCTTACCTGCATGTGCCTATCCATCTCAGCCTGGTTCCTCGGGTTCAAGTTTAATGGTATACACTACCAGTGGACAGTCCTACCATTTAGCATTTCAATGGCCCTGTGGCATTTTACCCACCTTTCCAGGCCAATAGCTGCCTGTCTGCACCTGAGGAACATTCAGTTTGAGTTTTACAAAGACTACTGAATACTGAATCATCCAGTAGCGGTGATCCTAACCTGTCACCAGGCGCCTGCTTTATCAACTGGGTTGGGTAGTCAACGTGGCAAAGTCGGAACAAATCCCATCCTACCAACTCCAATCTCATTAAAATCAGATCTTAGTTCTCGCTAAGCGACGCTCTGATTGGTCGGATGAAAGGTCGTTCTGACATGACCCGTAATGGGATGTCCTCAGATCTTTGTTTAGCGGTAGCGAGAACTAAGATCTGATTTTAATGAGATTGTACCAACTCAAATTCATAGGGGGGGCTATTTCAGACAGATCTAGACCTCTTATCAGTGCCATGGGACATATGGATAAAAAATTTATGCCATCTGTACCCCACCCTGCAGCAGCCCATCCCACTTCACCAATGGCTTCTGGGACTGCTTGTGTCAGGGGTTGGTGCGTTCGAGCCTCTGCAGGCAACATCTTTTGTCAACCTCACCAAGAAGACAATAATTCTCTCGGCACAAGCCACAGCGGCAAGAGTGAGCAAGATTCATGCGCTAGATATCACTTGTGAACGCTTTGAGTATGTACGGAACTGAACCTCAGGTTATGCTGGGATTTTATAGCTAAAAACTGATTGCTCGGACGACCCGATTGGTCTTTCACTATCCCACCATTATCGTCCATGATAAAAAATTTATGCCATCTGTACCCCACCCTGCAGCAGCCCATCCCACTTCACCAATGGCTTCTGGGACTGCTTGTGTCAGGGGTTGGTGCGTTCGAGCCTCTGCAGGCAACATCTTTTGTCAACCTCACCAAGAAGACAATATTTCTCTCGGCACAAGCCACAGCGGCAAGAGTGAGCAAGATTCATGCGCTAGATATCACTTGTGAACGCTTTGAGTATGTACGGAACTGAACCTCAGGTTATGCTGGGATTTTATAGCTAAACGATTGCTCGGACGACCCGATTGGTCTTTCACTATCCCACCATTATCGTCCATGGGAGTGCAAGATGAGGATGAACTATTATTGTGCCTCTGGTGTGGTCTACAAGTTTTCATCCGCCGCTCCAAGACTACCGGTAAGCGTGGTACACAAAAACGATTGTTTATCCCTATCTCTCAGACGTCCACGACCAAAGTCAGTTGCAGTACCATTTCCTTATGGTTGCGAGCTATCATCCTTTAGGCCTACGAGATTGCTAATCTCAGGCCATCAAGAGCTAATAACCCCCATGAGATTCAGGTGTTTGCCTTGACAATGGCTCTACACAGTAATTGTTCTATTAGAGCTTTCATGGAAGATGGGTTTTTTAGGTCAAACTTGGTCATCTCCAGCCACTACCTAAAGGTAGCTATTGTTTTTTAGTGTTTGTTTACCTGGACGTACTCATACTTTTGGTACCTTTCTGTGGACAGGATTGGCTGATCAGTTCCCGATCTGCTCAGAAGAATTGCTCGGTGCAGCTGACACAACGTTTAGTCAGGAGAGTTTTTATTGAGTACACATCTGAAGGTATTCTCGGCTCCATTCCATCGGATAGTGATGCATTGAGGAGTAGTGCAGGATAGGTTAAAAAATCTAGTAAAATCTAGCTATTGCAGTGAATGCATGAAGGAGTAATGCAGGATAAGTATACAAATATAAAACATACCTAGATTTTCTTTTTAGGTATTCACCCACAATTCATCCTCATTCACAAAACTAATCATTTGTTTTTTTTTTTAGGTGGTCACTCTCATAAATATGAATGATTTGGAGCAGTTAGATATCTCATGGATTTTCCATTTATTTCAGCTCAGAACAAAATCGTCAAGATGATTGAATAGCAAAGAAGTTTATTTGAACCTTATCAAATTGTAAATTGTTTATTTGGGGTGAGCTACTGAACCTGTTGTTTTCCATATTGAGTGTTCCTCTTTATTGTAGTTTGATTGTACAAACACACTGAATGATCAAGTCCTGGAGAATGCCACTGTTCAGATGGATCCTGTAGATGGCTTTGAGGTGATGAAGTATATTGCATGCAGCAGTCTTCCGTACAATAAGCCTGGCACCACATACACTCTTGTCCGATTACCCCAGGAGCCCACACAAGGTATGGCCACATCACATGCCCTGGCAGCTCATCTGAAACCACTGGCATGACATTTGTCATATCTAAATGCTCACAGACATTTGACCAATCATGGCAGACATCAAGTACCTTTGATTTTGATACCTAATACAGTAATGATATCATGTTTAGCTCACCTGAACCATGATTCAGTGTCAAATTAATGTCATTGAGACTTGCCTCTCATCTGTCAGTCAGACTTCATAACTTTGCCATTTTTATAATTTTTAGGAATTGGTGCTGTTGAAAGTAAAGGAAGGTAATGTTGTATCCCGATCATATTAATTTCAGTAACAGGCAGTTTCACCTGCACCCTGAAGTTTATTGTAAAGGACTGTGATCCCAACACTGGGGAGCCTGATGATGAAGGTTATGAAGATGAGTATGTGGTAAGTGTCTGTCCAGATTCACTGTCATTCAGTGGCCTCTTCACAAACAAAATACAACATATGAAACACATTTCATTAGTATGTTTGTATCTTTTGAACCATCAACACCTGACGACACAAGTGACATAAAATATTTTCTGTGTATAATGCGCCCATATTTAAACTGGTGTGTAGGAGTGTGGATCATAAACACTGACAGTGTGTTTCAGCACTAGCATGATAACACCAGAAAGAGCCTCTGAATATGTTCACACTGAAATACACCAGTAAGGCCCCTTGTAACAGTGTCTGTATAAACAATATTTTTCTGTATAAAAAATCTATTTCTGTTTTAGTATTTCTCATGTATTTCATTAATATTATTCGATATTCAATTCAAGATAAAAGGTGAACACGACGATAATTCTGATCTCAGACTAATAGAAAAAACTTTCATCAGCTTGATATCAATCAAGTCCTATTAATCCAACAAATGAGTATGTCGGCTGAATGAAAATAAGTTTTGTTTGTTTCCTTTCTTTGTTGTTTAAAGCCACACTCAGGAATATTCCAGCTATATGATGGCAGTCTGTAAATAATCAAGTCTGGACCAGACAATCCAGTGATTGATATCATGAGCATCGATCCACGCAATTGGGATATGATGACATGTTCCAACTAAGTCAGCGAGTCTGACCCCCCGATCCAATAAGTCGCCTCTAACGACAAGCATAGTCACCTTTCACGCCAAGCATGGGTTGCTGAAGACCTATTCTACCCTGGATCTTTATGGATCCAAAATTAAGTAGCATCAACGTTGGTGATTGAAAAATCGAACAACTACACGATAGATAACGATACAAATGCATTGTAATAAAAATGACAAATGAAATATTCATATTATTATGTTACATTGTTAGCAGAATATGTTTTCTAATCATGCAACCTCTAAAGCTTAACACAAAACTACGGTTACAGGGTGTGTATGAAAATATACTTTAAAAAGCATAGTCTGGAAAGGAAGTTGCCAGTTTGAAACTAGTGCCGCAAAGCTCAAGAAAGCTGCTTTCTTCATGGCTTATGTTGACTTCCTTTCAGTGGTCAGTCAAAGTTCGCGAAAGGTCGTTCTGACATGACCTGCAATGAACTGGTATCTGATTTAAGTGAGATTGGGGTAATCTTAGCATGTTATGAATCCTGTTTTGTTTATTTAAAGCATCAATTGTTTATTGTTAAGCAAGTTTATCCCTGCAGCTGTTGTAATATGCAGCTACCAGCCGACTCGTCTGGCATCAAAACACGGGTTGTGTACGCTGATTAGATTAACAAGACTGATTAATGAGTGATTTCGTTAATTAGTTGCAAATTAGGTGTGTCAGTGTTGGAGTGTGAGACTGTCGAATTATCAGGTCTAGATAGCACTGATTTAATCTGTTCACATCATTAGTGTTGGATTAACAAGACTTGACTGTAGTTACATTTCTTGGTCAGCAGAGAATCTGTCTTGATCTGATGTTTGTGTGTTGTAGCTGCTACTTTCTTGGTCAGCAGAGAATCTGTCTTGACGTGGTGTTTGTGTCGTAGGTTGTTCCTTGGTCAGCAGAGAATCTGTCTTGACGTGGTGTTTGTGTCGTAGGTTGTTCCTTGGTCAGCAGAGAATCTGTCTTGACGTGGTGTTTGTGTCATAGGTTGTTCCTTGGTCAGCAGAGAATCTGTCTTGATGTGGTGTTTGTATGTTGTTGCTAGTTCCTTGGTCAGCAGAGAATCTGTCTTGACGTGGTGTTTGTGTCGTAGGTTGTTCCTTGGTCAGCAGAGAATCTGTCTTGACGTGGTGTTTGTGTCGTAGGTTGTTCCTTGGTCAGCAGAGAATCTGTCTTGACGTGGTGTTTGTGTCATAGCTAGTTCCTTGGTCAGCAGAGAATCTGCCTTGTTGTGGTGTTTGTGTGTCATAGCTACTTCCTTGGTCAGCAGAGAATCTGCCTTGTTGTGGTGTTTGTATGTTGTAGCTACCTCCTTGGTCAGCAGAGAATCTGTCTTGATGTGGTGTTTGTATGTTGTAGCTACTTCCTTGGTCTGCAGAGAATCTGTCTTGATGTGGTGTTTGTATGTTGTAGCTACCTCCTTGGTCAGCAGAGAATCTGTCTTGTTGTGGTGTTTGTATGTTGTAGCTACTTCCTTGGTCTGCAGAGAATCTGTCTTGATGTGGTGTTTGTGTCGTAGGTTCTTCCTTGGTCAGCAGAGAATCTGCCTTGTTGTGGTGTTTGTATGTTGTTGCTAGTTCCTTGGTCAGCAGAGAATCTGTCTTGATGTGGTGTTTGTGTCGTAGGTTCTTCCTTGGTCAGCAGAGAATCTGCCTTGTTGTGGTGTTTGTGTGTCATAGCTAGTTCCTTGGTCAGCAGAGAATCTGTCTTGATGTGGTGTTTGTATGTTGTTGCTAGTTCCTTGGTCAGCAGAGAATCTGTCTTGATGTGGTGTTTGTGTCGTAGGTTCTTCCTTGGTCAGCAGAGAATCTGCCTTGTTGTGGTGTTTGTGTGTCATAGCTAGTTCCTTGGTCAGCAGAGAATCTGTCTTGATGTGGTGTTTGTATGTTGTTCCTAGTTCCTTGGTCAGCAGAGAATCTGTCTTGATGTGGTGTTTGTGTTGTAGGTTCTTCCTTGGTCAGCAGAGAATCTGCCTTGTTGTGGTGTTTGTATGTTGTAGCTACCTCCTTGGTCAGCAGAGAATCTGTCTTGATGTGGTGTTTGTATGTTGTAGCTACCTCCTTGGTCAGCAGAGAATCTTTCTTGACGTGGTGTTTGTATGTTTCAGCTGGAGGATGTTGAGGTGAGTGTTGCAGACCATGTTCAGCGAGTCATCAAACCCAATTTTGCTGCATCATGGGAGGAAGTTGGCCCAGAGAATGAGTTGGAGGACACCTATGCCCTGTCTACTATCAACTCTTTAGAAGGTAGGTGGTACATGTAAGCCCGTCATCTCCCATATATTATTAGTATTGTCAGACCTTAAAAGTTACGGGGAGCCCCCAACTTGACCCTTGAAATCACCATCTAAATGATATGCCATGAAATAGGCCCGACAGTGTTTCGGATCTAAACTCAAAGTGGTCAATGGTTATATAATCTTTCAACCATGAAATGTTACTAACCCAGCTGAGTTACATTCCTTATTTCATCATTAAAAGCAAAACACTGCCCATCCCCACAATGCAAATGCCTAGTACAGTAACAGCAATCATAGCCATGCCTATTTGCTTGGTGGATAACTCATGTTCAACCACTTGGAACCTTACAAGCTCAAACTGTTGATATGATCTGTCTATCATCTGAATATGCATTATATGGCTTTGAAAAAGCATGAAAAAAACTGTGAAATAGTCACTTTCATGTTACTGTGAAATAGAAGCAATATTATTCAAACAAATTTGATCCCCAATCATATCTACTGTCACTTCTTATTAAAGAAACTGTTCGGGGGTGAATTTTGAAATTCATGTATGAACTTTGTATACATGACAAAGAATTGTTATGACATAATATTTTGTAGCAAATTGCTATTGGTTACTCACTGCAGACTTGTGTACCTGCAAGTAGTTTCAACAGTTTAGGTTGCTGGCCAACCTTATCTTTGCTCTCAATAGCCTATTCCATAATATACCGGTACAGTAGTCCCCATGAATGGTTATTGCAAACTAACCTGTACTAAAAGACTTGTTCCTGTTGTTTACCTTATAGCAGCACAAAGTGGATAGAATGTGTTGTTAGTTCTGCAAATTTACTTAAACAACTTATTCAGAATTAGGGGGCGGTCGGGTAGCCTAGTGGTTAAAGCGTTCGCTCGTCGCGCCGAAGACCCGGGTTCGATTCCCGACATGGGTACAATGTGTGAAGCCCATTTCTGGTGTCCCCCGCCGTGATATTGCTGGAATATTGCTAAAAGCGGCGTAAAAACATACTCACTCACTATTCAGAATTAGTGTATATTATTAGTTACAAAAATAATTGTGTGGTCAAAAGATCTGTTTTCCTTTTCAGAAGCCATCAAAAATATTATTCAGTATCTGGGCATGCAACCTTGTGAGCGTTCTGACAAAGTGGCGGAGGGCAAGAGTTCACATACTTTATTCCTAGCTGGTGTATTCCGTGGTGGCCATGATGCTCTAGTGAGAGCTAAACTTGCTCTTACTGACTCTGGTGTGACAATGCAGCTCACTGTCCGATCCACAGACCCAAATGTATCAGAGGTGCTTGCAACAGCCATAGCATAGACATCACAGTCTCTGTACATGTCAGTGTCATTTAATCTGACAGTTTCTTCAGCTGAAATCAGACCTTCATAAGTATACTACTGGCTGATTGGGCCATGATGTAAATGCTCTCATACTTCGTTTACAATAATACAACTGAATATTATGTGACATAAAATGTTGTCTTATGAAATGGTCTGTATAACATTATCACTTGTTTAATGGATCTCTCATGGGGTGATCACAGTAGCTGCTGATCTATTTCCTCGTGTGGGGATTTTGAAAGTTCATATTATTCACCACTGTATTGTCCCAAGTATGATGAGTACAGGCTGTGACTGCCTTATAGCTGTAGTGAAGCCAAGGCCTTAGATATCTTTCACTTGATATTCTAACTACTAAAAGGAACGGTAAGCTGTTGTCCTTATGTCATGAACAGTGACCAACTGAACTTCAAAGCAATGGTCAGATTGTGTTTTGATCATTGGAGCAAAGAAATCTTTTTGTGGGACTCTGTTTATTTATGTGTAAATAAATCGATTTAATGAGGAATAAATGTTATATCCAGTTCTTCAGTTTTGCTTGTTGATAACTCCAACAGTACCATAGTGGTACATATGACCAGCATGACAAGGAAGGTCTTAAATTTTGACTGTTCCACTCCAAATTAATGATGATACTTGATACCACAGACCCAATGATTTCATACGATGCAGCTGGAATCCTTGACCACTCCCTGTGGAAATGTTCTGATAAGTCTGTGGTCAAAGGAGACTTGACAGATGGTTACTTACATTAACAGCTTTTCTGAACCGGAAAGAGTCAGATCTCTATAATTTGCTGTGTTGTAAAAAAAGGTAACAGTTGTTGATGCAGGGAAATCGACCTGTTTGTGTTTTGGTGACTAAGCAGTATGAAATGTCCAGAATAGTCATTAATGTGAAAAGTCAGTAACATATGTTTCACTGTGAATTTGACCTTACTCTTGGTACTCATAATAGCAGTGAGAAACATTTAAGTTGTATCACCGCATGTCGGCTTAATATGTGAAAAAAAGTGATGCAGGTCATAGATGATTACAACATGTGCAAATTTCCACAAACGAAGGATTAAAACAGGGCAACTCTTGGATTTGAACCAAAGAGCAGTGGCATGGCAAGAACTCAATCCTGCACAGCAAAATGCAGCACCATCTGATGGGGAAAAGACCAGTCCAAATTAAATAAAAACATGTCCTCGAGAACACTAACATCCATTTAACAAATGCAATCTTAGTCAAAGTGAGCAACAAGTGACAATTCGGTTTTATATTTATTTGATGAAGGTATATAATACAGCACAGCCTGCAACAAATACTTAATATCAAGAATAGAAACGAGGATCCTCATCAATCACTTCAGCTCCATCAGTTTACAGTATGTTAGAGTCATCTGACGGCACATTAATCCAGAGAGCTTTTCAGTTCATACTACGTATCAAATTACTGCAAAAGATGCAAAATCAGGTTTCCTAAAATTAATTCTAGTCCAATCTGGAAAAATATTCCAAGTGGGCTGTTCAGTATAGATTGAGTGAGTTGGGTTTAACGCCGCTTTTAACAATATTGCAGTTATATCACGGCGTGTCAGCTTAATGTTGGAGGAAAGCCTGAGGTGCTGACAAACCAAGAAACATAGTCGGGGCGAATCAGGATTTGAACCCACAATCATAGGTTTCTGGCGTGCCCAAGGGGTGCAACTCTGCACAGCACCTAATGGGACCAGATATTTCACAAGACATCATCAGTCTTGATTTTTAAATACAAAATTGTCTGTGTACAAAAAATATTTAAGTTTAGAATATGCAAAATATGCATATAGAATAACAAATGCAAATTAGATCCTGCACCTTTAAGCCTGATACCTGTGGCAATTTGTCTATATACATGTAGCGATTTGTTCCCTCTTTAACCACAACTGGCCACACTTCTACACAGGCACAGTAGCTCATTTACAATTAACACATACTGAGGAAAATTAAAAGTTTCTGATAATGGTGTGGAATTTAAGCAAAACAACACATATGACACAAATATGGAGGAAGTGTTGCATTTCCTAGAGAGCATATGGCAAGGTTTACTGCACAGTTTAGTTGACGTTCTTCATGTATTAGCAATAACTAGGGGATCATAATGCATACAATAGCTACAGTGCTGGTTGATAAGGGTGAGAGTAACCAATATTTGTCATGTTAAACAAGATGTAAAGGCTCTATAGCTCACCTGATTTTTTGTGTCGAATAATTAGATCACAAACATGATACAGGTCATAATGAAAAGATAAAAAAGGATTTCCAAAAACAAGTAAGAGAGGTTTTGATACAAAACAATGTACTGAATAGTCCATAAGAATATATGCACTAACGCCAGCAGTGTTTAAGGTCAGAAATATCTACTGGCACTATTTCGGGACAATGTTTCTGCTTGATAGTTAATTTGGTTTCAGAGGAGACTTCTGAATGTAATTTGTCAGACGGATGGACAAACAGCGTCACACCATACATAAGCTCACTTCAACCTTCTGGTCAGGTGAACTAAAAGCCAAGGTTGCAGGACATTTGCATAATGCATGACATAACATAAAGAAACAATTGTCATCAAGATTGCAAATCTTAACCTTTAATGCAATTATACTTGATTTTGTTACTTAAGACCAGTATGAATCTGTTTAATTCAAGTGGTTACAAATAGTTGTTTCAGCAGATGAGAAATTGATGACAATACAGAAGATGATAGGCCCAAGCATGCCCTTCAGAACAAATGAGCTAATAATCTGATTAGCACTAATCATGCTGATGTAAATACCATTTTCAAGGGTCAAATTTAATCACCCCAGACTACCGCCTGGTCCTTTAAAGGAACATTTCAGTCACCTTAAAAATTAGTCATAATATTTCAGGCCACCAGACTACTGTTTCCTTTGAGTAATACTGACATTAACCTCTTGTACAATTTGTGTCAAATTGGTGGAGACACAGCATCTTGCTTTTGTACAGACATATTTGACAAGACTACAACCATAAGCCCATCCCAGTAAGAAAATCCCAACAACCACCAGCACCTGATTGCGAGCAATTACCAGCTAGTACCACAACTGCACAGCCGTGGCCGAAAAAGCACATTTATGACTTATAGTAATGAAACTTTGGTTTCAAAGCTGACATAATTTTTTTCAAGAAATGTAAATATAAGTTAATCACAGTAATGATGGCTTTAGAAAATTGATCCATCAATGACACATTCATTCTTGAAAATATCACAGAAAACTGAAGATCAAACTTAATCTTACATATACATACATAACAATGTATTTACAGTCAATATGCTATAAACATGATAAACATGATAGATGACACATTTGACCCCGACACACTATATGTGCAACAGGCAAGCACTACAAGCAACATGGTTCTCTGTCCCAACATATTGTTTCTATCATTACAACTATTCAGAATTGTCATTATAAGGACATTAAATGATCTTGGTACTAGAAACCACATCCATGATACATGATGATGCATGCAAGAGACTTTTGAGAATGCCAGGGAATGAGTGGAGAATTTCACCTTTCAAGAAGGATCATGCATGTGATACTATTATAATTTGCACAATACTGCTAGAGAAATACTTTTCTGCAGTCAAATATATTCATATGATGACTAGATAAAAACATGTGGACACTGCTATTGTCCTCACCCGTGAAAGTTGTAATAGCTTAAGTATTGGTCCAACATAGTGAATGTATGGTCCATGATGATCCAAAGCCCTTGAGGCATCTGCCTTGTATGTAACTACACAGCTGCTGAAGGGTGGCACACCACCATCAGGCTCTCCTCACACACTAAGTCCTGAGTCATCGGCATCCTTCTCTGACAACATCTGCTGTGTGCGGAGATACTCAGAGTACAACTGACGAGCAGTATGCAGCACTTTATGTACACTGTGACGTCTCACCATTCGGTCAAAGTGCATGGCTACTTCCTCATAGTCAAGCTTATTGCGCATAATGTGATTTCGATGTTGCAGGAGTAGTGTTAGACACAGGAACATGAGGAATGGGTTACCACAGCCAAATTCATGTGGAGGTGGCAACTTCTGAGCAATTTTTGAGGCTGAGAGTATGTTGTTAGAATTCACTGATGGTTCTCCATCTCCTGACTCACTGCCCTGGGACTGTTCAGCACCCTTGGCTGAAGGCATATCATCACTCTTATTGTTGGCTTCACCTTCTGAATGACTAGATATTTCCTTAGGGATTGTAATGTTGGCTGGTCTTCGCTTTGGCGATGATATCAGTTTCTTCATGTTTCCAAAGAAAGAGGTGCGTGTCTGCTTCTCCATGTTTACTGGAGTTTCTGGTTTGTTCTCTAATGAAAGATGGAATTGCATCTGTTGGTCAGCATCATCAGCTTTGTCAGCATCCTGTGAAACACCCTCCACTTCAGTAAAGTTATCTTCCACAATACTGGCATCTGATGGTGTAGCACCTGTACCACTGTCATTAGAACTGGCATTGAAGTCATCTTCACATTCACAGGAAGCATCTGCGCGATCACCTCTCATGCCATTCAGTTCGCTGCTGTCCACACTGCCACTGGCACACTGGCCATCATCATTTTCACAGGATCCAGATTCCTTTGTCACAGCTGTGTCTTCAAGGTGTCTGTCTATAGATGTGGAACGACGTTGCATTGCACGGGTATCAGGATCATCCAAACGAGGGTAGTCTTGAGTTATTTCTTTTCTCTCGTCAATTGGAGATGCATCAAATGTTGAAACACTATTGTTGTTAGCAGAGTTTCCTGGTATGAGTTCATTAGGAACACTTCCACCATTACTTCTAATAGAAGAACCTTGGCGTCGCATGGCTAGCAACTTGGCATAGACAGTTTGTTGAAAGGAAAATGATGGAGAGCAAGGGGAAGTGGAAAGATACTTAAAGTTGAAGCCTTCATCAGTGAGTTCGAGTGAATGTTGGGGTGGGTCAGGTGGCAGGGTACTCAGCATTACCTCCAACATGTACAAAGCATCATCAAGGGGAAACTCACGCTTTAATTCTAGGAGAAGCCAGCGGTAGCAGAAAAAAAGGTCACCAGCTGCAATGTTCTGCAGGTACGTGAAGTAGTCTGGATCATGAAGCTGAAGCAGATGGGCAAGGTGACTGAACTTTGTCATGATCGTAGCACCACTGGGCAAAAAGTTTGCCTTGAGCCGCTTCATCACACCACAAAAACATAGATAAGCCTGCGCCTCATCCTTCTGAGTGACCAGGATTGGAGAGGCAATGTCACTCATGCCTTGACAATAAGACACATCAGGATGTGTCAAGGAATAAGTTACCAGAATGTGAAATAAAGACAGAATGTTCTTATTTTCATCACCGCCTGCATAAAACTTGTGTGTTCTATCAGTTCGTAGCACATCTTTTTTCACCATTGATGCCACATACTTCACCTCCTCAGTAGCAGTGTTTGTACTGAATCTCTCCTTCCACTCATCTCGCAGACGGTAATATTCACGCTCTCTTCCTTTCAGATAATCAAAGCGTTCCTTGCCTGATAAATTAGCTGGAAATATGTTTAGTAAGTGTCTCCAAGTGACACGTCTCAACGAAGGTTCAATGCCGCCCTGGTAGATGCTGAGTCGAAACTCCTGCGGTTTTATCATGAACCCTCCCGAGTCCAGGTAGTTGTGGAACTCCATGTCAGACATTGGTGGTTTCATTGGGCGATACAACTCTTCATCTGTCTGCTTGAGGCCTACAAAAATTCATTAATATGTAAATCATTTAAACTGTTGAAAGAAGAAATATAGTATCATCTATAAACACAAATGAAACTCTCATTATGTAACAAACTTCAACCAGTAAGAATAGAACAATGAGTGAGTGAGTTGGGTTTAACACCGCTTTTAACAGTATTTCAATCATATCACGGCCTGTCAGCTTAATGTGGGAGGAAAGCCCCAAGTGATGCATGTCTTAGACGTTTACCATTTCTGTGAAACCGACGAGCACGGGTATGGTGCTGACAAACCTAGAAACATAATCGGGGCGAACCAGGATTGAAACCCACAATTATGGGTTTCTAGCATGCCCAAGACGCAACTTTGCACAGCGAATAGCACCTTAGAAAATTGGGACCTCCGTGCCCCCATGAGTGAGTGAGTGAGTGAGTGAGTGAGTGAGTGAGTGAGTGAGTGAGTGAGTGAGTGAGTGAGTGAGTGAGTGAGTGAGTGAGTGAGTGAGTGAGTGAGTGAGTGAGTGCCGCTTTGAACAGTATTCCAGTGATATCATGGCATGTCCACTTGATGTAGGAGGAAAGCCCAAGGTGTTGCTGGTCTCAGACAGTTTACCACTTAAATGAAACCCATGAGCAACATGTATAGTGCTGATAAACCTGGAAACATAATTTGGGAGAACTGGAATTCAAACCCACAATTGCTTGTGTCCCCTAAAGCAATGACATGAGTATGAGTATGAGTAATATACATGATATATGATCCCATGAATGGAGTCTCATCACATTGATACCACAGGCTTTCATAATGTTTATGTATGCCCATATTATGTAGTTTTAGTCCATTTTGAAAGCCCTGGGCTTTGATTCTGGAATCATACAAGATTCAGGACACTTCGATGGTTAAATATACATGACAAAGCTGACAACAACAAAATCTCAGCTTTATTGGTATGTCAAATGCCATAGTAGGGTAAGAATCATAGAAACACCTAAGAAAATATTTCATGTTATTTCACAGACCACATACTTACTGCATATTTAATGACACATATGAAACATGCTGAAATGTCATGGCTAACCAGTGTAACGGAGGTACAGAAGCTAAGATGCTAAACTAGATATTTTGTCCTGAAGCACAACATCGGATCCTGATTTTGTTGTCAATACTTATATAAAATAATGATTAACAAGTCTTGTTCCACATTAACTTTCCCTGATCTTTATGACCAATAAGATCTCTATCAACATTATTTCTAATAATACTATCTAACCCCAGTATAATTCCTATATCAGGCACTACAGCTAATGACTTGTGTTTTGAGTCAGATGATGTCAGTATGGATACACAGGCAAGGATGGAGGGGAGGTGATGACTGTAATACACAGTGCTATGAATTTGTTGATGGGAAGTGGAGAAGGTAGATGCAATATACAACCACAACTCCTGGTATTTTAGTAAAATCTAAAATATTTTTTACATTTGTATACTTATCCTGCATTACTCCTTAATGCATTTACTGCTTACCTTACGACAAAAGAGACAGCGCCTAGCAATGGTCCTGGGTGAAGTCCTGCTTTTGTACGACTATCACTGCCGTCATGTGACCAGATGTGACATCACATCAAATCATATTACTGAACGTCACCCAAACTTATCAAAAAAAGCTTTCTGAGGCGATAGTGGAGGCGATGGGCCCTTAGATGTGTAATTCAGGATAAGTATTCAAATGTAAAAAATGTTTAGCTTTTACAGAAATTTATATTTATCCTGTATTACTCCTTAATGCATCTGAATCAGATCGTATGGAGGAGGGTATACCTTCAGATGTCAAAACCCTCAATAAATGAAACCCCTGAAAAGACAATTTGTCAAGTAGACGAAAGGAGGAAAAAGCATAAAAGCACCGGTTCCATCTGGTTCTATGTTATTACAAACGGAACGTGAGAATTTTGTACACACACTTGGAAAACAGAAGATAGAGTAAGCCAAAATCTTTACATACTGTGTTACCAAACCAAAGCTGATAAAAAGGTTGAAAATTCATTCCTGGACAGTGCTGTGCAGGGAGGGAAAACTGGCTCCGGACAGGACAAGTTCATTATTTGTGTCTGGGGCCAAAACTGCAAACGCCTTCGACATCGCGAAGGTAATGACTTATAATAATATAACAATCGCGCAGATAATGAAGATAAAACCGTGCACAAAAGTAGTTCAGCCTCATCTTCAACCCCCACAGTCGTCAAGATTGGTTGAATGGTGAAGGAACGATTGGGTTGGACTGGAAGTTGATTTTTTGCTATGAAATCCCAGCACAACTCGAGGTGTACCGGTCCCTGCGTACCATGCTCAAAACGGACATGGGTGATGTCAAGTGCATGTACCGGTAACCTCTTCACCTGCGCCACAGTGTCTAAAGACAAGATAAAAATTGTTTTCTTGGTGAGGTCATAAAATAAGGACGCGAAGACAGGCTCGAAGGGGGGCCCTCACAAACCTTGAAGTAACACATTCAAATGCGACGCTGGGGGACGGAATTTGGCCTTCTGATCCTCAAGCCTGCAAGAGCGTTAAAGGGCCTGTAGTTCCGGGACCTTGGTCATTTTGTGAATGGCCAACACTGAATTAAGCCCTACCAAATACGTTGTAATGGTGCTACCCTTCAAGTATCTTTTGGTATGCAAGTGTAGAAGGTATTCATCTAAGAATTGGGGTGGGCTGTCATGGATCTTGATTTATAACCTTTCAAAAGGTTTCAAATGATTGCCACTAGTCATCGTAAAACCCCCTAGTAGAGGGACCATGTGCCAAAGCAATAGCCTTAGATGCCCATGCCGAATAGCCCTTGGCGCTCAAAGCCTTTTTGAGATGAACTAAGCGTGCAGATGAGTGAGATAGTTTGCTGTGAGGGTGGATGAAGAGGTTTGCCCACCCTGGAAGGAGCAGTGGATCATCTTCTGCAAGGTTTTTAAGATCGACGAACCACCTTCTCACCGGCCGCCAAAGTCAGAGCAAGGCTCTTTGTTTCTTTGATCTTTTGTATCACCTTAGGAAGTAGTACAGTAGGCGTAGAAGCGTACACTTTTAGCCCTTCCCAGGGGATCTGGGAGTGGCTAGACATAAGCCATAAGATTGTAGTTCTGGTGAGTCGCAAACAGGTCAATGTTTGGTTACCCGAAGCGATGAAGCACCAGTTGGAATACACCTGAGTGAACTTTCCACTCTGTGGGAGCAACCCTGTCTGGCTGGGATAGGGCGTCGATCAGGAAGTTCCGACATCCGGGGATGTCCTGGACTATGAATTGCAGTCACAAACTATTCACTAGATGAAAGGACCTGTTGTAAAAGGGAGTGGGTTGTGCCCTGATTGCCCACACCAGAGTGCTATGTCAGTGGATATTGCAAGTTGGGTGGGCTGTAGCTGCTCCTGCCAATGAGATATGGCAAGAATGAGCGCTTCCAACTCTAGATTGTTTATGTGCCAAGTTTGTCATGCACCGGACCACAGCCCTGAGGCTGTCTGGCCCTGTAAGTGAGTACCCACCCCTGAAGGGAGGCTTCTATGAACAGATGTAGCTTCAGGGCTAGCCCGGATATGGAGATGCCTCCTAAGATGTTCGACTATCGTCCTGCAGTTGAGGTGAGTGCTTAGGTGGGCTGGTAGAGTGATGACCGGGAGTAGATCCTGATGCCTGATGTAAGGAGCCAGGAATTGTATTGGACGCAGTTGTAGGCGGTCACTGCTTTTGTCAAATCCTGGGTTGAAGTGAGCAACCCCAGCAACACTTGCCATTGGTGAAGTGTGCGTGATTGACGCAAGGCAGGTGACAGATGGCGTAAGATATTAGCCATCTGTCCCTCATGACTGATAGGAGGTCCTGATCTGTCTGAAACAGACCCCCTATGAAATGGAGCCGGTAAGATGGAGTTAACTCCGACTTCGTTTGGTTGACAATCCATCCCAATTGAAATATCAGATACCTGGTGAAATCATGATGGCGTACCAGGGTGAACGTGTCCTGATGACACAGGAGACAGTCGTCTATGAACGACTCGAACCAGATGTTTCTCAGGTGTAGAAAGGCAGTTATTGGTAGAGCTGGCAAAAAAATTGATTATCGGAATTATCGTCTTTGGGAAGAAATATTAACAATTATCGATACAAAAATTGTGTTGTCGATACTATCTTACATGAACAATTGTGATGAAATAAAGTTTAAATTTACCAAACAGACTTGTTATTATCAATCATGTCAATTGCCAAAGATGGAAAGCAACAGTTTTTGTTATAACTTAAATGTCTACAGAGTAATCCATGCATAAATGTGCCACCACTCACCAATGACGTGAAATATGTTGATTTCTTCATACTTTTTTTTGCATATTTGCTCAAAGATACCTCTCCAATATTTCTTGATAACTGATCGATATTTAGTTAACGATTATAATCTGTATCGATAGCCAGCACTAGTTATTGGCTTGATTATCCGTGTAAATAGCCACGGGGCCACTGAAATGCCAAATGGTAGGATTACCCATTGGTAGTGGACCCCATTGAACTTGAACCTGAGGACCCGCTGGTGGCTGAGGTGGATAGCCGAAGGGACTGCTGTAAAATATGTTTATGAGTGACCTCTCCATAAATGGAGAAAGGTGAACAAAAATTACATTTCAAATTTGGAGGGCATACTTGAGTGCAGTCCAAGCAACATGGATGAGGATCTTTAGAAGATTTTTTACCACGACAATTTGTACACCATTAAAAAAAATCGTGAAAACTGGCAGGAAAAAAGACAGGCTTTTTTACGTGGAAAACACCCGAATAACAATAGACAAACAAGTGAAAGTTATATGAAAGGAATACATCAACCATCGCAGATGTAATTTAGTGTGGTAACCACCAAATTAAATGAAAAGTTGAAGAGCCAAGCGAGACACGTCCTTCCTTGTTGGCGAATAGCAGTAATATTATTTGATGTGAGGTCACATGACAGCGGCGATTGTTCTACAAAAGCAGAACTCGAGATTGAAACAGCTTTTTCTCTTTCACCTAGGAACATTGCTAGGCACTGTCTCTTTCGTCTTAAGGTAAGCAGTAAATGCATTAAGGAGTAATGCAGGATAAGTAAAAGATATAATTAATGGTGAATTGACAGGTAGCCATGGTTTGAAATATCAGTTGGATAGTTAAAGTTAGGTTAAGAGATTTCATTGTGAGAATATTACTGTTCAAGTTTTTAATACACCATAATATACTGTTTTGAATTAAGGATTGAATGTGTATTTTTTTAGGTTCATTGAGGTATGAATAGAAAAATCGATGTGCAAACTGTATGAATCCGCGCAGACATTTTGTCTTGTTCAAGCAGGACTGGCCACAAACTGAGGACCAGTGAAATAAATGTTTACACTAGTTCTCTAGACTACCGGTTGACTTGAGAAAACACAAATTCTAAGGCTGAATTACCTAACATTTTTATTTATCAAACGCTGTTTGTTTGCTTACTGAATACACTAGTGTTGTTGTTTCAGGGACTTCACAGTGGGTTATCTTGCGCCTGACTCAGAAGGCCAGGAGGTGTACCTCAGCATGCTGTCAGACTGGGACATGGATGCAGCATTCCAGTGTGCTTCGGATCCCTATCCCAGAGTATGGTTGACACGAATATATACAGGATAGGGGGCAGTGTTTATACAGTTGAGTAGGTTTAAAATCAGTTACACTGTTATATTTGTAATGAGTTGTGTTTCTGCATGAAATTAGTCAGTGAATGCAACAACCGTGTGCATGACACTTTTGGAGGAACATACACTCAAGCAACGCGGAACTTACCAACAAGAAAGGAAATGTATTCAATACTGCGAGCTGACATGTGCCAAGTTTGGTGAAGAAATATGGTACGGTTTTCAAGATTTGCTACGGAAACGAGGACTACCGCTATTTTCAGTCTAAGTCAAAGTTGTTGCCATGGAAACTCGAATTTTTTAAATTTTTTTAAATCCCAAACTATCAAAAGGCACCAGTTCACCACTAGACCTATCTATGTGCCAAGTTTGGTGAGGAAATATGGTACGGTTTTCAAGATCTGAAAACGAAATGTGACTGACGGACGGACGGAAGGACGGCACCCATTCCTATATCCCCCTCACACTTCGTGGCGGGGAAAAATTAAAAAACAATTTAAGGAACCTGTCATGAGCTTTCAATAAAAGATTGGGCACGTTGCCCACCACTCTTTCTCAAGTCATGAAGCAGGTAGGTGTAGGAATGTGACAGGAAGTACAACCTACCCATGGCTCTCTGTACAGTGGTCATGGTCTTGCCAACCTGGGAGGTGATTGTTCCAGTGATAGCACCAAGGAGAGAGGCCTTGTCTAAGATGTTGGTTACTTTATGTTGTGGTATGTCAGCCGGGGCTATCACATCCCAGTCGTCCAAACCTACAGAATAGGGAAAATGTACTCTCACCTTGTCATGTATATATCTTCCACTATCTATGACTCAGTTTGCAAGTACCTATAGACTATGTCATGTATTACTTTGCCAAATGTCAATATATAGGCAAGTGTGACAGATGCTCATTGATTTTGTCCCATCTTAAAATGTCAGCAACATCTGTTCCCTAGCAACTTATTTGTAATGGATGGTTAGACAAACAAATATAAAAACATCCACATCCAAAACTTTGCTCCTCTTGAATATCTGTATGTATAGATGAACAAAATAAGTAGTGGCACTGAAGCTCACCTGGATGTATTCATCAGTTTAAAGAACAAAGATAGCCACTAAACAAAAGTTGCTGTCAGCATTGATACTTAAATATTTTCTGTATAAACCCTAATAACTAACTCTAATGCACTGAACAAAATATGATGTCATCATAATCATGATAACGAGAAACATACATGCCAAATTTCAGCTCCCTTAGTCTTCCAATTTCAGGAAAGAAGAAGTTCACAGAGCTGAATATGCGTTTAGAAAGAACTAATGAGCATGGTTAAAAAAATATTATCATTACATCCTGTATATTAAAAAAGGAATGATTATAAATAGCTTTTTTTCAAAATGGCTGCTGTGGTGGCCATATTCAAAATTGAATTCGAACACCTCTTTTGAACAAATTCAGGTGGTATCATTGGCGGGAACAAGCATGTGAAGTTTCAGCTTCATTGGTCAAGTGGTTCCTGAGGAGATTCTGTTACCATGTTTACAGAAAAAGGAAATAAAAAAATTAATGAGCATGGACAAGTGCAAAGGTCAAACCAAGGTCAATATTTGAACTGTTTGAAATATCGTAAAAAAACAGAATATGTGTTGAGCCCCACTACTAAATACTCATAACCAATTTCATTACATTTTGAACAATAGTGACTCAACAAAAGTAGAGTTTTTTTCAATATGGTTGCCATGGTAATGTTCTTTCATCATGTCCATGCAAATGTAAGTGTGTATCTGAACATTGCTGAAAATGTTGAAGATGGGCAGGCAACACTTATGGGTCACCTGCCCGACTGTCTTGTAGGGTTTTAAAATTATTTCAAACACTGAATACTAGTAATAATGACATGAAGAAGAATTCTAAACGTCAAGTTTATATACCACAGTGAATAACAATGAAATTGAACATTCAAAAACTTGGGTGAATTTTACTTACCATCTTCAAATGGCTTGAGGTCTACCTTGAGCTTGAGATAGGGATCCGAAGCACACTGGAAGGCTGCATCCATGTCCCAGTCTGACAGCATGCTGAGGTACACCTCCTGGCCTTCTGAGTCAGGCGCAAGATAACCCACTGTGAAGTCCCTGAAACAACAACACAGTCTACTCACCCATCTCACACCAAAGTCATACACAACAACTGATTATCAGATAACAAGATTCACTTAATTACAGTAGTTCCAGCAGTCATTCAAAAAAAATAACAGTGGACCATAATTCTTCTGTCATATTATCTTGATAACAAATGTTCTCTTTTCAAAGCGCTCCTTCAAGTAATGACAGTCACCACATATTGTTGACATGGAAGTATCAAGAATGATGACAGTGAAAATAGAATAAACCTGTAATCAGATGTCAAGTTTGACGATTCACGGATCCGCATTGCAGTCAAAACTGAACACCCAGTTGGTTTATTACTTTGATCATTGTCAGTGCTATTTACCTATGTGGCTTCAATTCGCCCTTTGCTATGTCCATTCTTTCACCTATCAGTGCTAATTACCCCTGGCCACCCGTTTGCCCAGTACCCATTACTTATCCATATTACTTAAATAACTTGAGTACTGGCTTCCATACCATCAGCGCTTATTACTGTAAAGTGTTGGCCTCCATTGTCTATTGCCAATCACCTTTCAGCGCCAATCATCTGTTGGCTTCCCTTGTTAGTTTCTACCCTTTGTTATTTTCCACCTATTGTTATCTTATAAATTTTGTTGTCCTTACATGTACATATATATGCTCTCTGCCATCCACAGCTTAAATTTCTGGGCCGCGTCCCAATCAAACCCTCTCATCCAAAACTTAATAAACCAAAACATCAGCCCCAAAAACCAAGCTCTAGCTCGTAAACACCCCTTACTTACCCCAATATCCCAAAGAATAACAAACTACCTAAATGAACACCAAATTAAAAATCTTAAACAAAACTGCAAACAATCAAATATCTTCACCCCTAAACTTAAAATACCCAAAATAGACACAACACTAGCTAGCCAAATAAATAAACAAACCGACCCAAACATAGCTAAAACTACCACACTAGCATACATACACGAAAATTGGCCAAATTGGTGTCACATTTACATGAACGGATCCTCAGATCCGACCTCCAAACACACAGGTTTCGGAGTCCATACCACACAACCAACTAAAACCACACAATCCTTCCAACTCCCAAACAACCAATCAATATTCACGGCAGAACTAATGGGCATGGCCTCAGCCCTCCATAATCAAGAATCCAAAAACCACAAAAAAATCCTAATACTTACCGACTCCCTAAGTGGACTGCAAGCCCTCCAAAACAAAAATACCAAAAACCGAGCTAAATTAGAAATCAAATACTTAAAAGCTCCAACGACCTAACTAAGGCAGGCAAACAAATAACCTTCTTGTGGATACCCGCCCACGTAGGAATATACGGTAATGAAAACGCCGATAAAGCAGCTAAACTATCCCTCAAAATCCCAGAAATAAGCTTAAACTTACCCATCTCAAAATCAGAAATTAAAAGTGTAAACAAGCAAAAAATCACCAAAAAATGGCATAACCTATATCTAAACTCAAATAGCCAAATCAAAAAAGTGCTCAGCAAACCACTAACCAAACCAAAAATTCTCCATCCATAAAAAAAAATCGACAGAGTAATCACTAAACTCCAAACAGGACACACCAACCTAAATAACCACCTAAATTTTTAAAAAAAAACACACTACAGGTAACTGCCCACACTGCAAACAACCAGAAACCCCAGAACACGCACTCATCCACTGCATCCAAAAACAAAATAATCTACCAAATCAAAATCACATAAACAAACAAACATCCATCATACCCAGCTCCCTTAGTTCTCCTCCCCAACCCCATCGGCATCTATTCCAAATCTCAAAATTCCAAAATTGTATGTAAGCAACCCCTAAAGCCCCTTCTTGGGTTGCACACACCACTTTCGCCCCTCTCGGAAACACATTAAATGGCCTTGCCGGGCCCGTGTGCGAAATACGCATCAGTCGGAAAGCGCACGTTAAATCTCCAAAGTAAGTAAGATACTCATGGCATTCATTCACCTGATGAAGGAGTAAGCATATACTTCAAAACATGTTCATCATAATAAAGAAGTTGACATCCATGTATTCTCTTCTTTATGTGTATCACTTCTAAATGCCTTTCAAAGACCTATCACTATTATGATTTCATAATATTCTACAAAGCATTTTGACATGGTCAAGAAATCCCAACATGTGGCGATATAGTGCCAAATGTCAGACTCACATCAAGTATTTAGTCGTAAGTTTTTCCTTCACACATGTATAATAACCATGATAACAGCATTTGCATTTTTTCTTAAAACCACTGTATTTCCTCCATTAAACACCCAGGTATCTTTTAATCTGTACAAGCCACTGACCCGGTATCTATTCAGTTAGGTGGTAAGTGGGAACTCGATACCTTACCGAATCGCAAATTCTACAGTTATACAAAGGGTATTGCAGGAAATGGTCATTATTTATCACCAACGTATAATAGTAGTAATCACCCGGCTTCTATTTTTTGGACATAACGTATGATCCAGTGTTAATTGGAGGCACTGAGTCTAATAGAGGAAATACGGTGACTCTTAAAGTAAACATCTGACATGATCATGGACATTTAATGTTTCTATAACAGTCACTGGTTTATTTGGACGGACACCATGTGGCTGACATACCCCTTGATATCAAAGGCTCTGGCAAGTATTCCCTGCAGCATCTCAAATGACGTAATTTGCGGATCCACTGAAAACTTCTTATACTCAGGCTGCAACATGCCATCGCACTTCTAAAATGAAAAAAGAACTTTCCACATAAGTCAAATATGTATGACATCATATTTGGATTATCTTTAGAATGTGGACATGAATGCCTAAATACATGACCAGGGATGTGACATCCTACATCTAACATGCATAAAACTTGAATACGGATCCAAAAGTAATACCGAGTGCATCCAATGATGCAAAATGTTTTTCAGCATGTTTAGGAATGAATGCTGCAATTTCATAACTTGACTTACACTAGTAAAATCCCTAGATATTTTTTTATATTTGTACACTTATCCTGCATTACTCCTTAATGCATATTACTGCTTTTTCTTGACAGAAAGAAGAGCTGTGTGAAGTCTTGCTGAAGAAGAAGTTGTTTCAGCTAGCTTTGGGAACAACCCTATCACACAGCTCCCATGTGACTAACGGAAGTGATGATGTCACGAACTTCACATTAATGCTGGAAGCCGGAACATCTGAAGACATTGTGGGGAGGAAGCTCTGCAATGGGTTGGTTCATGTAGACATAGTAATGCAGGATAAGTATACAAATATAAAAATATCTAGGTATATTACTAGATTTTATAACTTATCCTGCATTACTCCTTAATGCAGTCTGTATTCGACAGAACTTGGTGGTGGGTATACCTTCAGATGTGGACTTTTTCATTCAAACTCTCTCATCCAGTCCCTCATCCAATCAGCAAAGGCGGAGCTCAGCGTCCAACGACCGTTCCGGTTAACAGGGAAGGAGGGAGTTAGGTATGCCATGTATCTTGGTATCAATTCAACAACGGGAAAGAAACGGAAGTTATATTCTCATAATTGACATACCAAGCCGAAATGTGAATAGTCAAGGGTGTTACACACCAGTGAGGTCAAGAGGCCTGCTCTGGATAGGTGAAGACTTGTCAATGGTGTCTTGTAGCTGTGACCTGTTGGGCCACCACTAAAGGGCAAAAGCTATGCATTTCTTGCACGTCTTTGAGGGTGACATCTCATAGGTAGTGACTGGCGAACATTGCGTCTGAGCGCCAGAAACAACCTTCCATAATGGCACGTACAGAGCTGGGAGCCTGAACTTCGCCTTCTGGTCTTCAAATTGGAAGGAGCGAAAAAGTGCTTGGAGTTCCGGAATTTTCATCATCTTGCAATCTTCCGGTACTGCCTAGACGCAATTGAGTTGGTTGGTTGGTTTGTTGTTTAACGCCGCACTCAGCAATATTCCAGCTATATGACAGCGGTCAGTAAATAATCGAGTCTGGACCAGACAATCCAGTGATTAATATCATGAGCATCGATCCACGCAATTGGGATCGATGACATGCATCAACCAAGTCAGCGAGCCTGACCACCCGATCCCGTTAGTCGCCTCTTACGACAAGCATAGCGCCTTTTACGGCAAGCTTGGGTTGCTGAAGACCTATTCTACCCCGGATCTTCACGGGTCTGAGGGCTACGAGATACGTAGTGATGGTTCTGCCTTTTAAACACTGCTTGTGACGCAGCTACAGCAGGAACTCGGCCAGGAATTGAGGAGAAGCAGAGGTGGGCAGTGCCTCCAATTAACACTGGTAATTATAGCCAAGTAGCCCTTGGCACTTAGTGCTCTCTGTAGATGAAACTTATGGTGTGAGTTCCAACTTCCAGAGGTTGATAAGCCATCCCAGTTGGAGTAGGCGTTGAGTCCCTGTGATAAAGGAGCGTCAGTGTGTCCTGGTGGTTCAGGAGGCAGTCATCTATATATGTCTCGAACTGGACGCTTCTCAAGTAGTAGAGGTACGACACTATCGGCTTGGTAATGTGTGTCACAGGGCCAAAGAAATTCCAAAGGGGAGGACAACCCATTGGTAGTGGACTCCCCTGAAGATGAACCTGATTAATTTCCTGTCATCAGGATGTATCAGGACGTGTAGATAGACGTCCTGGATGTCCAGCCTGAGGAGTGTGTCGTGAGCCTGGATCCTAGACTGGAGGAGCCTGGTCATCCTGAAGTAGGGTGGACGAGCCAGGTAATGCCTGTTGAAGGTGGCGAGATTGTGGATCATGCGAAACTGGTCTGAGCCAGGGGGACAAGGAAGACTTGTGAGTATAAGGCTGGTGTTATGATTAGGGCGTGCACAATCTCCATTGCCTTTTTGGCCAGCAGTGTGTCTATGTTTGACTTGAGGAGCTGCTGTTGAGTAGGGTTGTATGTGTCCACTGTGGGCGTCTATCAGTGTGAGTCTGAATCCATGGTGGAGGATGTTGGTGATATATGGGTCCCCCAGTATTTCCCAATTCGCCAATACCTACAGGGGTGTCGACCACTTGAAAGACTAGGGGTGGGAGGTCCCTTTGAGCAATCACAACACTGGTAGGTGCTGGTCCTCGAAGGTTTGAACGAAGGGCTGTGAGGGCGGTCTCATCCCACGCTAAGGCGGCAACTCTGGCATACGTCTTGGTGACCTGGCCAGGAATCTCAGCAGAGATTGCTGTAGCCACTGTAAGTATGTGAGCCAGGAGGCGTCTGTAAGGGGCGTCTGTTGCTGTGGTGTCTGTAAGTGTGTTAAAGCTGTAGGGCCTGAATCCGGACGGTATAGGCACTTGATACTAGATCGACGAGTGACCTGACCGGGGAGCAGGCGAGTTCTGAAACGTCCAACATTTTATGTCTCTGTTTACGGGTCTGATGGGTTTTATGCTTGTGGGATACCTGCAGGTATTTGATGAAAGTTGTGGGGGAAAGCTGGAGACAGTCTTTACATTTTGTTGACTGGGGGCACAGGGACGTACAATTAGGCAGAGGGGGTGGGGACCCCATGCTGATTTGTTACGTTCACTTGCTACAAGATGGCATGTTAAATGCAATGAAGCAGAGTGAAATCACAATGCATCCCTGTCCGATTATGTATGCTATAATGATTGTCCCAGTCATGTGGGTTTATGACAAACAAGTTTATAAAAACATGTATAACAAAACTTTAAATATAGCTGCAAAGCAGCAATGGCGGGCTCCAAGTTACACTGTGCACAAACATCCATGTTTGAATCCTCAAAGGGTTATCTTGTACCAAATCCGTCACATGTAGGCACAACTTGCAGGGTATCACCGCTACTAAACTGGCGTGTGCTAAGTCTGTTCTAAACCCGTTTACGACATGGAACATGTTCGAATCCTCAAAGGGTTTGTTTGTACCAACTCTTGTCAAAAGAGAGTCGCCGTTTGCAGGATATTGCCGCTACAAAATCAAACTCAAAATCCAATATTGCCGCAACTAAAACAGATATCCAAAAATGGCTATTAGAGTTTGCTGTGTTGTGTGTGGAGACAATTCTCAGAAAATTTGGAAGCATTTCATGCAGTGGACTTGGAGTTGTTTGCGTTTGAAGACAGGTACCCAAAAAACACTGTGAAAACCTTGAATCCAATATGGCTGCCAAACCATGTGACCAATGACCAAAGTCAAAGAAAAAAAAATGAGGTACATATGGCTCACAAACTTCATGTAAACTATCAATAGTTTCTGTGGAGAACCTTACAAGATATGATCTTTAAAGTAAAATTTCCGTGACAAAAATGATCAAAATCAAAATCCAATATGGCCGCAACTAAAAAAGATATCCAAAATCGGCTATCAATGTTTGATGTGTTATGTATGAAGACAATTATCAGAAAGTTTGAAAGAATTATAGGCAGTGGACTCAAAGTTGTTTGCATTTGAAGACAGGTACCCAAAAGACACTGTGAAAAGCTTGAATCCAATACGGCTGCCAAACCACGTGACCAATGACCAAAGTCAAAGAACAAAAAATGTCAAGCAGCTCAAGTAGCAGATACATGCAAGGTTTCAAAGTAATCGGATAAGTGGTTGTGGAGCAATAGGGTGAAATACATGTTTAAAAAATTCTTGTTTTTTTAGTTATCTGCCGTTGGCCTTTGGGCCTAAGGCTTTGGGATTTTGGAGAAATCTAGTACTCACAGGTCATCACACACATACAAAATTTGAACAAAATCGAGCCAGTGGTTATTTTGCTAGGTCTGGTACAAAAATCAGCGGAACAATAAATAATAATAAATCGAACGATTACAATAGGGCTCTACAGCCTTTCGGTTTGGAGCCCTAATAAACAATATAATTGCAAGCATACTTCAATAATCATGATAATGAAGCACCAGGCAAAGAAAAGAATACAAAACGCCAGCCACGAAATGCACGTGGCGACGTAGAATATTCAAGACGGCTATTGAAACAACAAGACACCTGAACTTACTGTGGTAAATCGTACCACCAGGTGTCCAAATTATTATGCTATTGTGTAAATCATATGAGATACATGAAGGCACAAACCACAGGCACAACAGAATCACAAGATATTCACTAAGAATCAACACAAAAAGTGAGGAGCAGGATTTTATGCTGAGAAAATCACACACTGTTAGTTGACAGTAGTAATGTGAAGGCCTTGTGATAGGGTTGTCTTCAAGTCTAGTTGAAACAACTTCTTCTTCAACAAGTCTTCACACAGCTCTTCTTTCTGTCAAGAATATGCAGGAGTAATGCAGGATAAGTTAAAAAATACATTAAGTTTCTCTGAGCAAGTGCTATTATATACAGAACCATGATCTAAATTCGTCGATAACCTTGGTTCGTGGATCGCGGTAATTATCGTGATATCTCGTAAATTAAGTCTCGTATGACGTCACACAGCAGTACTTTTGATGTACACACACTGCCACGCCTTACTGACAAATATGTTCCGAATCGCTGCATTACAGGAAAGTACAGAAAAACCAAATGTCCAACACTGAGATAAATAGCCCTAGATCACTAATACCAAATTTCATATTTACAAAACATCAAATAAAATATATACCGTAAGCACCACCCTTCTCACATCTTGTCGTCTGCTTGCCTAGATGTCAAATAAACATAAGTCACTTGACTTGAGGTGCTGCCTTCTGTTAAAATATAAAAACTATGGAAACATTTTCGGGCCATCTCGTATAGTTTTTTTTCTCATTTTCATAGGGTTC